TAATATAAAAAGAACAATGTCTCTATAGCTTCTGTGTATCAGGCTAATTTGAAAATAGAACATTATTCGTTGGAGCTATAAGTTAATTAATGGCGAAAGAGGTGCTAAGTTTCTTTTTGATACATATCGTGTCTCACTTATAATACATTATGTTCATTTGAACCTTGCCATAAGGCAAAAACTGAATCGATTCTAGCGTCTATACAGTTACTCATAATTAACATTACACACAGATAACAAAACACTTTTAAAATAGGGTAAAATTACAGTATTACGTTTAAATTTGCATAAATTAGTTGATAACGCCACCTGGCGTGTTTATCGACGTATAGAATGCGGTGTGTCGTTGACTTCGCGATGTGTCCTTGCCACATTGTCACCTCACTACGTTATACAGCGTGTGTTCAAATTGATTATGGTATTAATAACACGCCTGTTATGAGTTTATGCTTTTGTTGGACAGTTTGTATTTATTTTGGTTGTTAGTAAAGCAATAAGGTTTTTTTTACACAGGAGTTGTATAACATTTTAGAGGTATGATGATGATCACATCGGGGTCACCAGTTTAGAGGTATGAGGAACAGGGTGGAAAGTTCCTCATCCTCCATTGAAAAGGGAGGATCCTCCGACCAGGCGAGGTGTTCGTGCCTGGTGGGCTACTACCCGACGGTTGTTGTCGGGATATCTGTATGGGTGCTAATTGTGTTGAAAACTCTTATAGCGCGATGTAGACTCTTGCACGTGATTGGTGCTGTTGTTAATGTAGTGCGCTAGATATCGCTACAACATAATTGACGAAATATAAGTATGTGTTCATCATCATCATCATCATCAGCCTATAAGTGCACTGCTGAGTGAAAGCCTCTTATCCCATGGAGGTTTGGTCATTACCACGCTTGCTCAAGACCAATTGGTGATTTCCAAGTCCAGGTTTCCTCACGATCATTTCTTTCACCGTTTGTCAATGGTATCTAAATAAAGTTAGAAAGTACATGTGGCTTAGAAAGAGTCACATTGGTACTTGCCAAGTTTCAAACCCGCATTCTTGTGCATGAGAAGCGGGTGCCTTAACCTTCAGGCCACCACTACGAATATAGATATTACACTTAATATAATATGTATAATCTTCCAGATACCTCTGTGCGGAATTATTTCTGCGTTTTGTAATACTATATTTGTGAGTTATTGTAGCTAAATCAATATAAACTCAATGGATGGGAAGCTTCAATATCATCCCGATTGTGTAAAGTGCTGATAAAACAGATTGCGGAATAAAACTCTCTTATCTATTAACTAATCCTTACTAATGTTATAAATACGAATTTGTTCGTGTAGCGCATTCACGCCTATAACCACGGAGTAAGAACAAAGAGGAGATGTCATAATGAGATTTCCCTAAGAAACACCGCGTGATATTTTGCGGGGTGAGGGGGTATTAGACTCCGCCCACTTTTGTGTTTGCCATCTGCCGGTCTATAGCAATACTACTCGCTCATTCAATTTACTTCTTTTTGTAGTTATGTAACTATTTCACAATAGATGTCACTAACGCAACAGGGTCGTACTTAGAATTTACCGGGGAGTTGTTTTAAAAAGTTTTTTGTAAATACATTTGCGAATCATCTTGATACGCATTTTTTTATCGAAATAGTAATAAATATCTAAAATATCTATTATTGGTGAATGAGAATCATTATACATTTATCAAAACCATATTTTTCATTTAAAAGGGGTTATTTCGTTACGGGCGTAGCCTGAAGCAGAAACTCGTATACAATGCTACTAGGGCTGATGCCCTGCTGATAACTGGTTCTTTGTGATAACGAGTGTTATTATTAGATATGTTCTGTCTTTTCGTCACGCCTAAACTACTGAACCTATTTGAGTGAAATTTGGTACAGACATAGTTTGGAACTCGAGAAAGGACATAGGATAGTTTTTAAACCCAAAATCTACAGGAATTCACTATACCACGCGAACAAAGTCGCGGGCAAAAGCTAGTTTCTAATAATTGTTTTGAAAACTCTTGGCAGTTGCATCATTACATTACGTAGCTGAATACGCATTAATACTAAAGTTCAGTGTCAATTTTCGTATATATCTCCAAATAACTGATGACTTCAAACAGGTTTTTCATCAGCAGGAGTTGATCGAGGAATGACAGGCAATGTTTGACGAAAGCCCCCTGACAGCAATATCAGAGCACCACGAAAAACCTGTTGAGTACCGCGTAAATTTTGCATGGTTCGATTAAATGCTTCTATTGATTTTTTATTCGCCATTGTATGTGTGCATCCCATAAAATAATTGACGTTAGTTGCAAAACTTTTGCCATAGCAGAATTTCTCGAAATATTACAATTTGCACTTTAAATCACCTGTACATTCAATAGCAATGCTAATGAAGAGTGTGCGGTCCTACCACCTTCTAATAATGTAACAGTAATCGTCTTAATTTGCATTACGTGTTCGCTGGTTTTACCTCAACAATATTTTGGATCATAAAAACACAAAACAATAACTCAACAATATTTTGGAACAATAACGAACATTACATCTAATTAACTAGTGGTATGTTAAATGCTATTCCAAAGTTAATAATACCGCCAGATTCTTCATATATAACACATTCTAATTATCTTCACGACTGTTATAGGTACTATTCACCATGAAAAACGAACAAAACCTGCCCGAATGTGACGACATATTTCAAAATAAACGAACAATGGAACGAATGATACGTACGAAGGACAGAGTATGTTGTGGGCATTTCATAGGCTTACCGGCGATACAAATCTGAGTTGTATGATCCAAGTCCTGATGCCCTTAATTTGGGGTTGAAATAAAAACCGAAGAGGAATTTTAGAAGTATAAATAAGGTCGTTCAGTTTCAAACACTTAGGCACTAAGATTTAGCACTCACAGCGTGCGGTGAGGTGCGCTAAATTTGAGTGATTCCATTCGCGACTTAAATAAATCAACGATATAAACCTTAAAAAGTAATTGACTCCTAATTACTACCCTGTCTTTATTTATGTTTTACTACTTGACGATAGATAGCAGTCTGTTTATAAAATGATATAAAAGTTACATAAATAATATTTTGCCGATTAAAGGATCTTTAGGAATGCATGTCGATCAAATTACTATACAAACGATCATTAAAATATACTAATACTGAACTATACGTACCTATAAAAATTTTGTATCTATGATACAAAGTGTCGACATCTAGTGTCGCGTAGATTGATAATTGGAAACGCTGACAATAAGAGACTTTGGTAGAACTATTTTAATAAATGACGAATAAAATAACTTATACATGAAAAGTGATGCCATCCATAGCACCGTAACGTTTATCATAGTATTTTTTACAAGATAAAACACAAGACTTCATTTTGTTTTCTTTTGTCACGAGTAAAATGAATATTTTATAGGAGTTGTGCATAGGACGAACGACCACATTATACTGACGTAAGCCACGCCCACATTGATGACGTGAGGGCCGACTTGTGTCACAGGGCCGAGTTGCTTAGGCCGTCTCCTCTTTATTCTTACTCCGTGCCTATAACACTGCTTTTTGTGTCCCACCATCGAATTGTATTCAAAACTTTTTATGCGTCTTATCAGCTAGGTTCCGTTGCGCTGTTTCACTCGCTGCTCGGCTCCTACAAATCGTAGCGTGATGTTTTATAGCCTAAAGCCTTCTTCGATTAGGTAATTGACACAAACATTAACACAAAAATAATTATTAAATTACATTAAAACCAGTAGTTCCGAAGATTAGCGCGTTCAAACAAACAAACTCTCCAGCTTTATAATATTAGGTATAGATTTTTATCGCTGAACTATATTTATTTTAAAACATATTCTACACGACTTGACGTAAAACACGTTTAGCCATAAAATCCTCCGTGCAATTTTCTCCGAGATAATTCAAAATATAGCGACGGTAAGCCATTTGTTGTGCCACCTACGGCAAAATGATGCTTTCAAACCTTAAAGGTTGCGTCTCCCACGCAAGAGGACGTCCAAACAAAATATTACTTCGCCTCAGGAATATTTCACAACTGACATTGTTCTTGACGTTTCCTGAGACCACAAATAGATACCATATAATGTACAATGTTTTCAAATTCCTTTCAGTTTATAATCTTGGTATAGGCGCTTTCCTTGTTGCCAATGTTATACTAATATTATAAATGCGGGAGTAGCTCTGTCTGTCTGTCTGTCTATTCGTCATGCGTAAACTACTTATAAGCAAACAACGTGAATGTAGCAAAACAACAGACTAACTTTATTCCACTTTCAAAAGTATTTATAGACAGACAATTCTTTTTAAACCATAAACATATCTAATGGCGTCACGAGTATCAATTCGAACAAATACTTTTATTATTTTGATACATAATTACAACACTACTGAACCGATTTCTGTGAAATTTGGTACAGACATAGTTTAGAACTCGACATAGGATAGTTTTTGTACCAAAAATCTCCAGGAAGTCGCGCAAACGGAGTCACGGACAAAATACAGTACTAAATATGTACACTGTTTCTATTGATATAAAGTTCATTTTGCAAATAACTTTGCCACGTTGTCGTAAGTTACCTTTCTTGGAGTATTATTTTTCGCGCGGGAATTGCACAGCTGCATTAGTGTTTAATTTTTAAAGGTTATACCTATGTGAGTTTGAATTGAATTGGATATTCGGTTATTAATTAATCACAGAACTAAATTTGTAGTTATACCCTGAATTTCAGTCCCATTAACATTCAATTGTAATTGTTTTTTCCTGTCTTCTAGTTTTATTTCTACATTTTTGTAATAGAAATTAAGCTTAGACTACAATTTATATTAAAGACATAAATTGTAGTCTTTCTTTCTTCTTCTTTTTGTTGCCTAACATAATATTTTTTTTTCACAAGTGTCATGTCCCCTATAACATCTTCCAAAGCGTACGAAATAACCTTTTAACATCAATGTTATTTCTTTCACAGTGACCTAAACAGCAACACTCAGTTCGTTGTTGGCCTAGCACTATGTACCCTGGGGGCTATAGCGTCTCCAGAAATGGCAAGAGACCTGGCTTCGGAAGTGGAACGCCTCATCAAGTCTCCAAACGCGTACATTAAGAAGAAGGCGGCGCTATGCGCATTCCGCATCATCAGAAGGGTCCCTGATCTTATGGAAATGTTTCTCCCTGCCACCAGAAGCTTATTGACGGAGAAGAATCATGGTACGAGAAGTTTTCATTTATTTGTTTATCTAAAAAAGCTAATTTGAAGCTGCCATAAGAAGCTAGTGGCATGCAAGAATGTTTATGATAAATTATGAATACACTAGCTTCCTCTCGCGGCTTCGCCCGCATGGCATGTAGATAAAAAGAAGTCGAAGATCTTAATCTAGCTACATAAGTACATACCAAGTTTAAACCAAATCTGTCCTGCCGTTTTTACGTAAAGGAATAACAAATTTAATATTAGAAGGATTAAGAAGATAGATGGAGTTCATAAACATTAGTTAATTAGTTCCAATAGTTTGAAAACCGTGCCCTTATATTTAAAGAGATGAAAGAGCCCTTTACAAACATTTTCTCATGTATTGTGTCACTATCAATCACAATGCACACATAGTAAGTTTACCTAGACCCAGATTGAATTACCTACAAGCTACACAAATATTGCACATAACAAAACTTCGTTACATGATTTCGAAACTAAATAAACCGTAAAATATAGTAACATTGATTTTGACACGTGTATGGGACTTACACGCTCACCAATGTACGTATTGGCGCGCTAAACACGAAAAGCTAATGAGGTTGTCTCACTTTTTAAACATGCTCCAAGTTTGTTATAATCCTTGGGCCAATTATTTCTTCTTAAATTAACGATTGTTATTAGAATTTGAAAATGAAAATCTATTTTTTTTTTTTGTTACACATTCTTAGCTTCATTTTCTTTGCTAGGATGACAAAACTTCGTATTAAATTCGTATTAAAACCAATAAATCGACTTCATAAATATTAAGTGGATACAGTAGTGTCTCGTAAAAAGTGTAGAAAACGTGGGAGAGCCAAGCTAAGGTATGATGAATAAGTCGGCTCGACCGAAGATACCACGGCCTCACAGGAAACCGCCGTAAAACAACCAAAGCGTTGTGAGTGAGGTTAGTGGAAGCCCAATCGTTACCTTCTTCGGATCTTTCCTCAATTCATAAATCTCCGAAATTGTAATCCCTTAATAGTTGGCAACGCAATCGTAACTCACTAATGTTGTGGGTGTCCATGGGCGGCGATTATAAGGATGCACCAGGGGCATAAAACAGATGCTATGAATATTTTTTTCGTTTGATTTATATCTTACAATAAAAATTGTTTTGTTATTTTCAGGTGTTCTTATTACTGGAGTTACGCTCATCACCGAAATGTGTGAGAATAGCCCGGACACCCTAAACCACTTCAAGAAGGTGAGTTTCATTTTAAACCTTATTTCTGTTACTGTAAGATTACATTTACACGTTTATATTAAGGATAAATATACTATCATCACATAGCAAACACAAATATGGAATCTTATTCAGTCACTGTTAAGGTTTAATTCGAAAATGGAGTTCAAAACAATATTTCTATCATATTCTAGAATCGTCTTTTATGTTTACAAAGTAATATAACAATGGCGTATATCATTAATCACTTTTACTTGTGTCTGTGGCTTGAACTAACCACGTTTGGAATATAAGTAAATTGTGTAAAATACTTAGAAATGAATGCTTTTGATGTTGTACCTAGTACCTACTAATAACGTTATTGTTTTGTATATAAACATATATAGATATAATGTTGATATAGGTATCGTTATAGGGCCCGTTCCGAATGAGAATTATTCTGACATTGTATAATAAACCTTACATACATAGGTATAAAGTCCATAATTAATTGTCTGTTAGACTGATCGCAAATTACGAGTTTAAAAACATTTTCTATACTTATTTTCCTTCATTACATATATAACTTGAAATACTTGAATGTAGAGATTTTCCATTTTTATTATATTATACGATCAAATATTTTAAATGAATTACACTTCTATCAAGTATTATGCGTATAATATAATACTTTGTTCTCAATTACACTATTTTCTTACGCAAAATGTTCATACAACATTCCCTATAAGCCTTACTGACTCAATTATCAAGCATCGATTCTTATCTCAATTAGACCCATCCGATTTAGTAATCGATAAATAACATCGATATAACTCGATATCTCTCAGTTATCGCGGTCGTTAAACCTGTTCGCGTTGCTATACTTGTTTTGATTTTATTTTATATAAGTACAATTAAACCTTTTATGGGATAGGCAATGCATTAAGTAGGTTTAATACTGTAAAATCACATGCCTGTCAGTCTGTTAGTCGTAACTCGAAAATAGCTAAACAAATGTTCATACAATGATAAGTCGATACATATATTTTTAACAAATGAATACTTTTTTTTCATGCATATTTTACATAAGTTTGTTCTGCAGAGTCAGCAAATAATGCCAAAAGCTAAAAAATAATGATATCAAAATGTTGATATTTAAAGTTATCCACATGAAACCAAAGACTACCACGCCACAGGACAAAAATCACAGTGACTATGGGGCAAATTAAAACGTACAGTAATCATCAGTATACCAATGATACGTTTATTATATGACAATGTAAATAAACCACCTCGGAAATCGTTGATACACTTATATAACCTATAAAGCTGAAGAGTTTGTTTGTTTGTTGGAACACTCTAATCTCCGGAACTACTGGTTCGAATTGAACAATACATTATGTGTTAGGTAGTCCATCGACTACCTAACACATAATGTATTGTTCAATCATATATTGAGGAAGGCTATAACCTATAAAACTAGTTACGCCCGGTCTGAAGCTGGTAAAACCGCCTGGAACAAGCTAGTAAAGTATGTAGGGCTATCACTTCTTATCAAATTAATAGTAGGAAACTTGTTTCAGTCTGTGTATTTTATTATATTTAATTGTACCTTATTTTTTATAAAGAACTGTTTTCTATATTCATAGTAGGATATTTATAGTAAAGTTGACTATCTCAGTCTTGCTCCGGTTGCAATTAAAAGTAAAGGAAGTGGTTTTCGTATTTGATATAGTTAGGTATTCTTAAGTTCTCGATGGTGATTGTATTTTTAACTCACTTAATGGTATGCTAGGCATATAGACATGCTTATTATGAGATTTAGTATCGGTATTTTACCAGAAAGATACTAAAATTTAAAGCAAATTATTTATTTTAAATAAGACACAGTTAAAAATGCGTCTGACAGACAGAGTTCCGAAGAAACAACAAGACAACAAGTCTTCTACACATGTTGTCGACCCGATAGGTTAAAACAGCATATGTATGTATTACAATTGTTTAAATATCGATAAAATTTATTACGATATTTAAATGCACGTGTGTTCGAACAATGAAAACCGATAAAATGTTTATCGATCATGAGTCAGTCCACCTTTCTACGTAGTCTGTGACAAACAATAAATAGTTCTCAGAATATTACATATTTTTCAAAATATGATTTATATTTAGAAAACATATTTTCTCTTTAGTAATATACTACGTATTGTTTTCATAGATGGTCTTTACATGCGTTACAATAATTATATTGTGTTCTTATAACAATAATATTACTTTAATTTTATAAAAAGACAGGTAGTTCTCTTATGCGCTATTAGAACAGTACAAACATACCATATTTTTTACGGGAATTTATTTTGGTATCTTTAAATTACTTAAAACCTGTACATTCTATCACCATGTTTTATGTTAAGGCGTATTTGATAAAAGTATAGCATGTTACAGAAAAGTACAGTCATTGTTGAAGGGTTGATATACTTATACAAACTATTTCATTAAAATCAACAACCCAACTCTTAGTAAAAATCCTGGAAATGTGTACTATTAAACTTGCTTTTTGTAACGTCTTACTAACCATAGTACAGCCGCAAAGAGCCATTTGACCACCACAGATAGGGCCCAAAAGGTTGAATGTTCAGCCGAGGTTGCGGGGCAAGCACAATGAGGTACCGCAGCCTCGTCATGGAACAGAAGAAACGTGGCAGTTTTTAGTCAGTGAGAGCCTGACACTCCCTCTCCTCGCCTCACCTAATTGTTATCATAATGCGTAGTCCGTAAAGTATAACACACTAATATATTGTGTTTGTTATCCCGTAGGAGAGCGGGCAGCGCGAGGTAACATACAAACGCTGATCCATGCACTTTATAACGTTTTTGTAGGCTGATGACATTGTATACTAAATTCACCCTTATTCATTCTCAGTTAAAGATTATAATAACTTACATATAACTGTATCCCGTCACTTAACTACGAAAATTAACATAAAGGTGATAATTCAATCACTTTTGGACTAAGTAATCAATGATTTGAGACATATTCGCAGAATAATGTTCCAAGGTCAAACTATGGTGACCACGGCTTCAGCTTAAAGTCAGATATTTCTCACTAATATCATAAATACTTTGTTTATTTGAAACTAAGCATCTTTCTATCTACAATGTCAACAGTCCACATAACAAGCATGATTGTAATATTGATTGTGTTGGTTATATAACCATATTTATATATGTGGGTTACATATTAAGCTGTTTGGTGGAAGCTATAGAGTCGACAAAGTCAAAAGTTTATAAAAAAAGCCAAAAGACCTACCTCTTCCGTTTTCTCTAACTTATGCTGCCTCTACCTTTTTAAATTTTTACTTGATATTTTCTGGCATTTAACGTTTAACTTTTGGCTCGATGTTGGCTATATGGTTTCCTCAAAAATCATGGGACAATATCATAAAGGTTTTAAACAAAACTCTCAACCATTCGAGTAGTATTAGAAAAATACGAACTTGTGTGAATAGTACTTAATTTAGGCACCATACCTACATAAAATAAAAATTATAATTATAGGTAGATAGAATATACTTACTAAATAACTTTTTAGATAGAATTTAGATAGGTACTACCAAATTATTTTGATATAAAAACACCTAATATTTAAAACACGTTTACATAAATATAAACAAAAACAAGTAGCAATTACAAATCATTGCTAAAATTAATAATTAAAATTAAAATGATTTTTCAACCTGGTCCTCAGCCTGTTTTAAACTATACTCACCCTACTTTTTGTCTTAAATAAAGTATCAAAATTATTTTTTGTGATCATACAACTTGAAATCTTATCTCATTTTAACTAAGAATAATTTGGTAGTTCATTCCTCATTACTTTCATATTCTATTCATGTAAGAAATGTGATCGATAACACTTGGGATTTCCACTACATAACAGTTATAACATCATTATTTACTGTAGTTCTTACCCTTACCCATCACAATAATCATAATTACTTAACTAGTGTACAGCAAATTATCCTTAACGCATCATACTTAAGACCTAAACTCGTATAGTAGTATATTACTTGAAATGTAGTTCATAAATAAATATTTTCTTTTAATTCATTATTATGGGAATCCCATCTTACACCTACATTACTAATACACAGTATGAAATTAGCACCAAAGAGTATTAAGTGACTAATTTATAGCAAAGAGGTTGAAGGTTTTTTTTTTCGATGTAAATGCCCAGTCCCATGTAATCGCTGTCGTATCGTGTTGTAAGCCTCGTAAGTCTTCGAAATTTGAAATTCCGTTTAAAATAAAAATAGTATTTTAACTGGCCGTATTACAGCTGATTTGGATGAATTTTAATTCTATGTCGTTGATATATGAATGTTTGAGATAGCAAAACAACGTTGTCAAAATCAGCACCAAAACATCTTATTGATCAATTCAATTTGAAATTCGAATTGATATGATGAGTGATATAAACGCGAAAGATATAAAAAAGCAACTTAAAAGTCATAAAACATACCTTATTCATAACTGCAGTAGAAATCAAATTCGCTTGACAAATATGTATATACAGGCTGCTTAAAATACTAAATTTTATTATAAATGGAGTGTATTAATAGTATGTATTGAATAATGCCTGAAACGTATGTTTGTTTTTATCTCTTTAAGTATATATTTTGATCGCTTCGCAGTTCTTTGTCTATGTGCATTGGGCATTATGTATTTAGTAGATACGTATATATAAAAGCATGGATTTGTTTGTAGATCGTACCGAATCTGGTGAGGATATTGAAAAACCTCATTTTGGCTGGATATTCACCGGAGCATGACGTCAGTGGAGTTTCAGACCCGTTCCTACAGGTATTGTGCTGAAATATTTATTTTTTTCTGTAATGAATACAGTATTTTTCATGTTTTTTATAATATAAATTCATTAATATATGCTCAACATTAAAATAGTACCATTAAATAGTAGCTATTGTGTGTAAAACAAATTGTTTACTATGGTCGCTATACAATTTTGTCCTGAAAGCCATAATCATTTCGTTCTGTTGCAAAATAGATCAACCTTAACGGATATATGCACCTAAATTACTGAAGCACTGGTGTCCTCAAGTTATAATAACAATGAATATGGCAGGATCTGTTTTCCTCTGAAGTGGAAAAGTTGCCTAGTTTTCAAGCAGATTTTACCAAACTTCTAGGAAAAGTCTTATTATTAAAATACTGATATTTTCTTCCCGCCCTTGAAAATTGCCTTCACAAATTTTTCACAAACTATACTTAAATTTTCCCAGATAATTTAAATAATTCTTAAATTTAACTAAATAGTATCTTTAGCTTTGTTGAAATCATCAAGGACCAATCTTAAACATTATTTTGTAAATAAACCTTCGTAATACAACATTCTGACATCAAATTTACCACAAAATTCCAGGTAAAAATCCTTCGCCTCCTCCGGATACTAGGCAAGAATGACGCCGAGGCATCGGAAGCTATGAATGACATACTAGCCCAAGTTGCCACAAACACGGAAACCAGTAAGAACGTTGGCAACACTATTCTATACGAGACTGTGCTCTCTATAATGGACATCAAATCCGAGAGCAGTCTCCGAGTGCTAGCCATCAACATACTCGGACGATTTCTACTGAATAATGACAAAAATATCCGCTACGTGGCGCTCAATACGCTTTTGAGGACCGTGCATGTTGATACGTCCGCTGTTCAAAGGCATAGGACTACTATTCTGGAGTGCTTGAAGGTGAGTTAATATTTTTTTTGTTTTTTATGTGATTATTTAGGCTAACGAGAAGCTGGATTACCTGACAGTTAAACAATCAGCGCCGCCCATGGACAACTGCAACAACGGACGAATTACGAGTATGTTGCCGACCTTTTGGAGATTAGAGTTTTTGAGATCAGGGATTGGGGTATTTATAATAACAGCACTATAGTTTTATTTATATCAATCAAAAGTTATTTTTCTCATTACAAGCCTATGTAGCAAATTTCGTTTTTGTTTTTGTCCGTAATAATTATACAGTAAGAACATAAAAATTGGGTTTGCCTTAAATAATCTTTTTTCCCCAGGACCCAGACGTATCAATCCGCCGGCGTGCGATGGAACTATCGTTCGCTTTGATCAACGGCCAGAACATCCGCAGCATGATGAAGGAGTTGCTGACCTTCTTGGAGCGATCTGATGCAGAGTTCAAAGCTCACTGCTCCAGTGCCATGGTCTTAGCAGCCGAGAGATACGCGCCCTCTAACAAATGGCATCTCGATACTTTGTTCAGAGTTTTGCTCAAGGTAAGATAAAACTTAAATAAATAATGATGAGAAAGTTGCGCTTTTGAGAAGACTGAATATCATTTTAAACATTAAAATTGTAATTTCTAGGTATGCACGTTGCGTTACCTAAGAAGTACAACTAACTATGTCATGATGTACTTAATTTAAGCTTCGTTTTTTGATACTGGATTTTATTATTACATTGTAACGTATGCAATGTAGTCAGTCTATGTACCAAGTTTGGTAGTCCAAAAATAAGCAAAGGCTTTATGAAGCCTTTCTTTTTTTGCCATGATATATGGCCTCCATTAAGCGGTATCTAGTAATCAACGGCCAAAACACTAAACTACAATGTTCTCTTAACACTAATACCCGATTTTCGTCCGACCAGGCGGGCAACTACCTCCGCGACGACACGGTGTCGAGTACGCTGCAGATAGTATCGTCGGCGGCGCCCGAGCGGCAGGCGTACGCCGCCATGCGCCTGTGGACCTCGCTCGAACGGTCCGCCGTCTCCGGCGACGCTACTGAGAAACAGCCGCTTGTACAGGTATACTTTCCTTTTTTATGAATTTTTATTAAAGGAAAAAAAAACATTTTCAAGAGACACGGTTGGCGCGGTGGCTGGGCAACTGGCTTCCGCGCAATATGTCGCGGGTTCGATTCCTCCACGGAACAATCCTTTGTGTGATCCACAAATTGTTGTTCCGGGTCTGGGTGTGATGTCTATGTAAAATTGTACGATTGTAAACGCAGTTACTACATAGGAAAAAATCCAAGTGAGAGGCAACGTTTTTATTAAAAACAAACATACCTAATTAGGTACATAAACATTTATACAATCAATGTTGATTAAATAAAAAATTAGACATATTTGAAACACAAGAAAACTCGTTGGAAATTTTACTTTTCCGAAAATGCAGAACAGTAAATGTAAACTTAAGAAATATTACTTAAGTATTATTTAAGAATGTTTTCTCCTACTGATTGACACAAAGATTGTATAAATTAATTTGGATAATAACGTACACATAATTATAAAACTGTAACAATTTTTTTTTTCGATTTGAGATGATTCATCATAGCACAAGTTTAAACCTTAGTGGTTTTTTGGTTGCTATTTAACATAAATAATCCTGTAATATTTGTAAAAATGATAAATAAATAAAAAAAAGTTATACCAAAATGTATACTAAAATTAGCTAAATGTATAAATATTCCTAAATGTAATGTAGAAGCACGAATATTTATTCCGAAATATTATAAATAATTATGTTTGTATTTGCTGCAGGTGGCGGCGTGGACTATTGGTGAATACGGTGACTTGCTGGTGTCTGAAGCCAGTAACGCGATCTCTATGGTCGACGAGGATGGCGTTGGTAAGTCACTAAGGGTCCACATCTCTTGATCCGATGTGGATTTCAAGCCATGTGATTAGTGAATCGCGGCACAGCTTTTCTCCGCTCTGCTCCGCCTCAGTGGAACTGCACCCTAAACTAAAATACTTGAGGATTCAATGACTATATAAGTACTTATTTGATTCCCCCAGTTTTATTATAAAATATTTCTTATTTCATAGTAGTTTTTAATTTTTAGTCATCGTAACTAATCGTAAGACATACTTGTTGAAAACATGCGACCTGCCCCGGCTTCGGATGCTCGCACCCATGCTGATACGAAATTTCTCTACTATTTAATGGGTGATATACATAGATACATATAAATCTTCCTCTTAAATTACTCTATCTGTTTAAAAACGACCGCATCAAAATCCGATGAGTAATTCTAATGATTTAAGCATACATAAGGATATAGGGACAGACAAAATTAGGTACTTTTTATGCTGTGTAATGATAATGACTTACGTGAATTTACTGAGAAAAGCTCTACTAATTTCATTTCACAACGTTACTCTTATACATAAACTGTGTGTTCTCCGTAAGTTCACGTATATACTAACACTAGCACCCCGCCCCCGCTTCGCACGGGTCCAACTATCTCGCTATCAAAGGGTCACCTTTTCCTAATCTTCCCCTCTACTTTTCTAATATTTTCTTTGATAAGAACCTTCTCCTGGCAATAATAAACACAACAAAAAAATAATTAGCAAAATTGGTCCAGGCGTTGTTGAGTTATGCGCTTACCAACACATTTTGCGATCCATTTTTATATATAAGAAGATTATAAAGAGGTAAAATTAGTAAGTTTCTATGTAGGGGATAATCTTTGCAAACACTGGTCGGATTCTCAAAATTCTTTCACTTATTGATAGCTACAATGTTCCCTAGTGCTATAAAACATCACGCTACAGTCAAATGGAGACGAGCAGAGCGGGAGTAGCTAATTATTTATAAACGTCGTAGTTTTTAACTTTTTAATATAGTAACCGTTATATATATATAATAACAAACTATAAGTTTACAATATAATTCTGTACATTTCAGATGACTTCGTGCGTCCGACAGAGGAGTACGTGATAGACATATACCAGAAGTTGTTGTGGTCGACGCAGCTCTCCATCAACACCAAGGAATATCTGCTCTTGTCTCTCGCCAAGCTATCCACTCGTTTCACCACGCAACCTAGCCAGGAGTAAGTTGATTTAGTAACCAAGTCCTTTTTAAGTTAATCTGTAAATAACATGATTATAAAATATAAAAACGCGGGTGTTAACGCGAAAATTAATTATATAAATACCTTGCTAAGCTTGACGTTTCGACTCGGACGTTCAGTCTGCTTGCGACAAACAAAATTTTGTTCTTCAGCAGACTGAAGATGCGAATTTTCAGTCGCAAGCAAAAAGTCTGCTTGCGACCACGACCTGTGCAACCAGGTCAACGCAAACGCAAACGCCAAGCCTTTCAAGGTATTTAAATAATTATTTTTCTCGTGAATACCCGTGTAATTATATGTTGTAAACATGAAACGCGAAAGGTAGGATAACCTGATTTATTTAGTAAGTTGTAGCTGGAAAATTCTATAAGTATAAGTCTAAAAGTTATGAAAATATGAACCTATTATTTTAAGAACATATGTTGTTCTCAGATAAAAAAGTATAAGCCAAATATAGTTACAAAGTTTGATAATCGAAAGTTTGTTACCAATTTATACAATAAAACAGTTATTTACATGTTGGTTATTCTCTTAATTTCAGTAAAATCCGTGTGATCATCGACACTTTCGGGTCTCACATCCACATTGAATTGCAACAGAGAGGAGTGGAGTTATCCCAATTGTACAGGTAACTTATATTATTTTAGTTTCTGCTTTCTGCAACGCGGTCATCTGTTGTATTCAACAATAAGCCCCTCTTTTCGTTAATACTTGTATCTTATTAAGTTTTTCGCTATTTGATTACTTATATCAATATGTTATTTATACTGCCTAGTTTTTTTCACTAAATCTCGAGATCGGCTGGTCCAATGTGGCTTATTTTGGTCTTGAAATAATCTTGGAAGTTTAAGAAAGGGTTTTAGAAAACATTAGTTAATTTCGAGACGGTACGTAGTTTGCTGGGTCAGCTAGTGATCTCCATTGCTTGACCATAAGTACATACATATAAAGGTGGTCACAATTTGTGAGAGATCAATTATATTATGGACCCTGTAGGGCACAGCCGAATTACCCAAGTTTGTGAATCGAATAACAGTACAGAATGTATTACATAATACTCGTATATAGACAAGTGGTGTTCCACATTGCAGGAAGTACGCGCACTTACGTCCGGCGCTGCTGGAGCGCATGCCGGCCATGGACGCGCCCGGCGGACACGCGCCCGACGACGCCGACAACGACGCGCTCTCAGACATCAGCCCCGACCACAAACCCGACCATGCCAATAATGTCAGTTCCAAACTTTAATAACAATACTTTACTCAACACTCGATATGTTAATTAAATTGTAAGCTGATAGTCACGCTATAAATATTTTTGTCGTGAGTGAGCGCGCCCATATCTATATTACACTCCATTTATTTAATATACAACTCATGTATATATTAGGCTATGGCATCAAAATAACAATTGTTTCGTCGAAAGCTGACGGCGTGTGCCTGCCTGAGTTTCTTAACATTTTTTAAATATTGCCTCTACTGTGTGTCGTGGATGCATTTAGAAACATACAAGCATCATACCCAGACCCGAAACTGAAAATGGGTCATACACGAGTTGTTTCGTGTGAGAATGGAACCCGCGACACGTCACACGGCAGTCGGTCGCCCAGCCACCGCATGAACTGCGCAGATTATTCGATAATCTAACTTTTAAACTTTCGCGTTCCATATTAACAACATATATTTATTTACACGGAGCATTATTATTTGAATACCTTGGTAATATCCTACCAAATAATATATGTTATTCGTTAATCGTCTGTTGCAATGTTCCAGGACGCCCTACTAGACCTGATCATCGGTTCGGACTCCCTGACGAATGGCGACGTGGAGCACAAACCCTCGCAGCCTCCAGCCAGCAACAACAACTCTAGCAGCAATGTACGTAATATAATTATATATTTTATTTGACTATACAGTCATTGTGACATAGTACATGATTAGTTTTAGTCACACATTAGTCCAGCACCTGAATAGCTCTTATGTTCCAAGTAATAGGCCAGGCTTCAAAGGTACCACAACCGATTAAAATAACAACAGAACAAGATAACAATATAAAACAGTAATTTATAACAAGCGTTGCCTTCTGCAGGATATCCTAGACCTGCTGAGCGGGTTAGACCTGACCCCGACGGCCCCGGCCAGCGTGATGAACAACAACGTGCCGTCCCCCGGCCTCACGTCGGGCCTCAGTCCGGGCCTCACGTCTGCCGCGCCGCCTGCCTCACTACTGCTCGACGGACTCTTCGCTGCACCCGTGCAAACACCAACCATGCAAGGTATAACCGTGTTTTCTATACTAGTATTATAAAGAGAAAGATGTGATCTGTTTGTTTGGATTGAAGAGGCTCTAAAACTCTTTCAAAATTCTGGGAAGTTACACTATAGCTGTTTTTGCTGATATCACAAAGCACGGGTATACAGTGTATTACAAAGACCAGACCGTGCAGACCACTGCTGAGCTCAAGGCCACTCTTATCTTTAAGGCCTCCTATTATCATGAGTGTAAGCGAGTTCGAGATCGTATTTTAAAACTATCAAGTTTATTAAAGATTGCTGCTGCCATGTCTCTGTCAAATGCGTAGTATCCATGTCGTTCTTTACAATATTCGCGGAATAAGCGATATTTTTACGCATTCCTTATCAAATAAATGTTACAAACAAAACACATTACATTTTTAATATCGAAAAAAAAGAAACAATAGTCCGTGAGTACAATACTGTGTCTAGAAAATATTTTCATTATTTTATAGTTTAATAAGTAATGTGATTATCTATTCACAGATCTACCGACAGTGACGGCTCTAGAGAAGAACGGTCTCCGCATAGTGTTCGGAGTACAGCGCGGCGGTGACTCGGTGACGCTGACCATGCGCGCGCAGTCCTCCTCGCCATCCACCCTCACAGACTTCCTGTTCCAGGCCGCTGTACCTAGGGTAAGCATACTTACTAAAAGATAATAGTGCTGTTTCGCTTGTACTTTGGGTAATGATGGTACATTTGCCAGACTTCGTGGCAAGGTAAATAATGAGACTGTAGATGGTTAAGGTCTGTTTATTACTTTAATTGCTGGTGCTTATATACTAAGAAGATGCGTGAGATTTTCAGATTTAGCTATCCTAACAAACGTGCAACAATTAACATGTATGTCTTATCTCTATCGTATCTAAGTAATGTAGCGACGTGATAGTGCCGCTACATATACTCCCCCCTTTTAAAAATAATTAACATATAAATTGAAAAAAATTAGTATGTACCTAATTATATAATAACTTAACCTTGCTGATAAATTACATCCTATGCGTAATGTAATGTCATTGTTGCTAATTCGAAGGAAATAAAAACTGCTGCCTTTGTTGTGACGGCGGCGGCAGTCGATGAACTATCCACTGCATTTGTGCTGATTGTTTCTTGCTATTGTTTTCACTCTTCTGTCTAAGGTCTTCAGTATTCCGTAGAGAAGAAGGATGCCAATTGTGATGAGGATTTGTCCAATTGCAATGTTTCTCGTCCACCGTAGCTCTTCCAGGACAAGACTTTTGAGATGGTCGGCTTCATTTTGATTAAGGCAACTGTCGGAGTTATATACGATTTGATCTTTGGAGCTTTGGTTGCCCATTGTTCTCTCGTAGATACTGACGGTATATGATGGTATTTTCAAAATACGGTGAGTATTTAAATGGACTGATTACTTGTGTCAGCAAGTGACGAATCGTACTGTCGGCTTAACCGCCCGTCCTGACTTCGTGATGTACGTGTTCCGCCCGTTGTGATTATTTTCTGAATTTGGCACGTTCGTTCCACTATTGAAGACAAATGCAGGTTTTAATCGGTCTATAGATATTGCTTTTTCATTGTCCCCAATTTTAATGATAAACGTCTTATCTATCCTCTTTGTCACTAGAAATGGTCCTTCGTATGGTGGTGTTAAACTTTTCCTTATTCTGTCACAGCGCACGAATACATGTGAGCATTTGTTGAGCTCGGGGTGAATGAAAACTGTTTGTTTAATTTTCTTGCGTTTTGATGTTGATGTCATACGAGAAATGTCCTTTTGTATATTTGTGACAAATTCTTCGTATGTCGAAGGCTGTGACGATTCAAAAAATTCTCCGGGAAGCCTTATAGGTGCGCCATATATCATCTCTGCTGCACTATATCCTGTGTCCTCGCGTACACAACTTCGTAATCCAAGTAGAACTGAAGCAATTTCGTTCATCCAATTAGCATTAGATTCTCTTGATATTAGCGCCGCTTTTAAAGTTCTATGAAATCTCTCTATCATTCCATTTGATTGTGGGTGATAAGGCGTTGTTCTAATTTTGTGTACTCCTAAAAATTGTGAAAGTGATTCAAATATTCTTGATTCAAATTGTCGACCTTGATCCGTAGTAATGCGTAATGGGCATCCGAATCTTGCTATCCATCCCTCATACAGTATGCGCGCTACTGTTTCGGCTGTGATATCTTTAACGGGAAATACTTCCGGCCAAGAAGTACAACGATCTATCATTGTAATTAAATATCGCTTTCCTTGAGAAACAGGTAACGGTCCAACAATATCGATGTGTAGATGTTCAAAACGTTGAGATGGCATAAAGTTCCCGACAGGTGATATAGTGTGGCGTTGCACTTTTGATTTTTGACAAGCTAGGCACGATTTACACCATTCATTTATATCTTTATTCATACTTGTCCATAAATATCTTTGAGTTATCATTTTCCTAGTAGCTCTCTTCCCAGGATGACTCAGTCCATGCATGACATTAAAAATTTGTCTCCGAAATTTTTCTGGTAAATAGGGGCGATTTTTTCCTGTAGATATGTCACAGGCGATGACTTCAGTAGAACCCGGAACCTTGATATTTGAAAATTTTAAATTCTTGTTATTACGAAGTCGTAATAATTCTTGGTCATCATGCTGACATCTTGCTAAATCAGCATAATTAATCGGTGATGGCACATCAATTTGTTCTATCCGTGACAATGCGTCTGCTACAATATTGTCACGTCCTTCTATATGTTGAATGTTGGTACAATATTGTGAAATAAAATCCAGTTGTCGTATTCGCCGTGGCGTATCATTAGATGACGGTTTTTGGGAAAATGCGTAAGTCAAAGGTCGATGATCTGTAAAGATAGTAAATTCTCTTCCTTCGACTAACCTTTGAAAATGTTTGACTGCCATATATATTCCGAGCAACTCTCTGTCGAATGTCGAGTATTTTTGTTGAGTATCACTTAATTTCTTTGAAAAGAATCCTAATGGTTCCCAATTACGTCCTGACTTCTGCTGCAGAACTGCGCCAACACAGGTCGAACTGGCGTCCGTCATAAGTGCCAAAGGGGCGGTGCGAGAGGGGTGAACTGTTAATACTGCGTTCATTATATTTTCCTTGCATTTATCAAAAGCTTTTTCGGCCTCTGTTGTCCAAGAAATTGGAGAATTATCATTCTTTTTAGAGTCGTGCAGGTAGTTGTTTAAGATAGTTTGATATTCAGCGGCATGAGGGAGATTGTTTCTGTAAAAGTTGATCATTCCTAAAAATCTTCTTAGCTCCTTGATTGTCGTAGGTTTAGGAAATTCCATAATTGCTTTGTACTTTTCCTCCGTTGGTCGTATTCCTCGACGTGTTGTATGATAACCCAGAAAATCTATTTCACTCTTAAGAAAGTCACATTTTTCGAGATTAATTGTTAATCCATTTTCATGTAAACGTTTGAAAACCGTATCCAAATGTTGATAATGTAGAGCCTCGTTTTCAGATGCTATAAGAGAATCGTCGACGAATATGAATACGAAATCCAAATCCCTGAATAGCGAGTCCATGAATCGTTGGAATGTTTGCGCCGCATTACGTAAACCGAAAGGCATTTTTGGAAATTCGAAAAGTCCAAAAGGAGTGATAATAGCAGTTTTTTCCACATTTTCTACAGGAATGCAGTGGTACGCCTTTCGAATATCAATTTTGGAAAAGATTTGCTTCCCTTCTAGTATGTAAGTGAAATCAGTTAGTCGTGGAAGTGGATATTTGTCCGGTACAGTCACGCTATTGAGCATTCTATAATCTCCACATGGTCTCCATTCACCGTTCTTTTTCTTAACCATGTGCAAAGGACTAGCCCATGGGCTGTCCGAAGGGCGACAAATGCCAAGCTCCATCATAGTCTGAAATTCTTTCTTTGCTATATGATATTTATCAGGAGGTAATGGTCTTGCACGTGCTGATACCGGTGGTCCTTTAGTGATAATATGATGTTTAATCTTGTGTTTTGGAGTAGTGTGGAAGGAGGCTGGTTTCGTAATATCCTCGTATTCATTTAATAGTTGAGTAATGCGTGGATTCGTCTCAATGTTAATAGTGCGGATTGTTTGCTGCGTCGATTTGATCAGGGTTGCGGGCGTTGTCAGCTCAGTTACCCTATCTATGAGTTTTCGACCAGCTATATCGACTAATAGCTTATAATGCTCTAAAAAATCTGCTCCAATAATCGGTTGTGTTACATCGGCGATGACAAAGTTCCATACAAAGTTTCTTCGTAGCCCGAAGTTTAAAGAGAGTGTTTTTTCACCATATGTCTTAATTTTTGTACCATTGGCGGCATAAAGTATACATTGTTCATCTTGTATTAGTGAATGTCTCTGTGGCTTGCTAATAACTGAAATATTTGCTCCCGTGTCAATCAAAAATCTCATACCACTTTTTCGGTCGGTAATAGTGAGGCGGTTGGACGGGTGAATAGCACAGAGTTCCGCCGTTGTCCGTGCTTCAATTAGTTTCCCTGTTTCCTTGAGTTGAGATCCTGTTTCCAATCACAAGGTTGAACACACTTTTGTGCATATTTTTTAAATCTTCCATGGTAAAAACAAAAGTGCCTTCTTTCTCTTGAACTCGACTGTGGTAGGAAATGCCGACGATTGGAATAACTTTGAGTGCTGCGTCGATAGTTTTTTTGACCTTGCTGAATTGCATTTAGTTCCAATTGCATTTCTGCTAACTGTGCTAGTATGCATGACATTGTATCGTCGCCAGATTTGTTTCCGTTTACAGCTGACACCTCTGTACGTGTTGAATTTATTAATATCTTGTCCGCGATCTGGCTCATCTTGTTCACATCTATGTCTTCTGTGACTGCTAGAACCGAAGTCACTGATGGTGGCAGAAGCCTCAACCATAGAAGTTTGATGGTTTCGTCGCTGATATTTCCGTTACTCAGGGTCCGCATCTTGCGCAGAAGATGTGATGGTTTCTGGTCGCCGAGATCCATTTCAGACAATAATTTTTGGAGCTGACGTTGGTCTGATTCCTCATAGCAACTGATTAGGCGTTCTTTGATAGCCTTGTACTTTTCTATTGGCGGTGGGCAAGTAATGAGGTCACTAACCTGTATTATTTCTTCTTTTGGCAGTTTTGCAATGACCGTATAGTACTTGTAATCGTCTCCTTGCTTCTGTGGTGCTACTATGGCTTCTAGTTGCTTAAACCATAATCTGGGTTGGTCCCTCCAAAATTCCGGAATACGGGATAAAATGGCGGTTCCGGCTGATATCTCCAAGGCTTCTTGTTGGCTGCTGCTTGATTTGCAGGGTGAATGAGTCATGTTGATTGTTCTTCGTCGGGTCACCAATTTGCCAGACTTCGTGGCAAGGTAAATAATGAGACTGTAGATGGTTAAGGTCTGTTTATTACTTTAATTGCTGGTGCTTATATACTAAGAAGATGCGTGAGATTTTCAGATTTAGCTATCCTAACAAACGTGCAACAATTAACATGTATGTCTTATCTCTATCGTATCTAAGTAATGTAGCGACGTGATAGTGCCGCTACAGTACACCTTATCTCACTCATCTGTGATATATATGAAACTTGTTGTTTGGGGAAATTAGTTAAAGTGCTGGTTTCAAAATGTAGAGTCATTTAAAGAACCCTCAAAGAGCCAATAGACTACCACAGACAGGGCTTTGTGTGGGCTCATGTTCAGCTGGGATTCCGGGACATGCGGAATAAAGCACCACGGCCTCGGACTAAAACAGGGTTGTTCCATCACTACACTCTTTTTACATTTAGACATGAGGTTTTGTTTTCTTCACAGACATTCCAGCTCGACATGATGTCACCATCCGGCACAGTATTGCCGCCCCAGGGTGAAATTACTCAAGTACTCAAAATCACTAATCCATCCAGGGTAAGTTGCAAAGGATTGAAAATATTTTGTCAGTTTTCTACACCTCGATCTGAACACAACTAAACTAACTTGCGTCATCTAATAACTACCATAAATAAAAATGATATTAAAACTTTATAACTATAAATTGTGTGCTGCTAAAGTTACGATGTTTGGATGTTTGTTGCTCAATCACGCCAAAACGGCTAGACGGATCTGGATGAAATTTGGCACAAGCATAGCATACACTCCGGAATAAGACAAGCTACTTTTTATCAACATACCATGTGGGCAAAAGCTAGTACTAAGATATTTTTAAGACCCTTATTACTTACTTTAAATATATGGGACAAACATTTTGTCTGAAATAAATTAATTTACGTTTCTTGGTGTTTTCAGAGCGCCCTTCGACTAAGAATACGAGTATCGTACAACGTGGACGGAGTCCCGGTGTTAGAGCAGGCAGAAGTGAACAGCTTCCCTCCGGACCTGTTCAACTGACGAGTGGCCAGCCCGCCCGGCTACTGTCTATAGCCTGCGCTAGCCTCCGCTGGCCACACGCTCCTATATACTCGTACTCGGTAGTTACACCATGGTCATCGATTGTTTGTCTATACGTAATATTCTTGAGCTCTAGAGCAGATCCGTTGCATTTCTTCTGCAATTCGCAAAATACGCAGTCCAAGGCATGTCGATCGTGCTAGAATTGCACAGCAACTGCAGGTGAGTGCAGTCTGTTTGTATGCAGTTGCACTTACTGCAAACAAACTACAAATTTGTTAATGGTGTGCAGTTGAAATGCAGTCTCTAGAGCCTTCCTAACTCTGGCTCAGACAATATGCAGTAACTTAAGTTTCTTGTACTAATTCTAAATGTTTCTTTATTGTTATTACTTGTATCATTCTCTTTTTCTAGTATTTATATTTAAGGTACTGCATATTGTTATATTGAGTCGGTGTAGAAGCGCAATTACATTCGGTTGTTCATCTTAATATGGATTTTATGCTAGTGTCGAGTTTCTACTCGAATACGGGGTACCTAGTGTAATATCGTATTTTATTATAATGTGCAGTGTGTGCAGGGCCTACAACTGTCTGCATTTTTCAACTACTTATTTCAAATTTCTTTAAAATTCTGAGATTAATCTAGCTTTACAAACTGCATTGTGATCTGGATAGCCGATAAGATCTCATTATAAACATATTTATTTATTATTTATATTACTATTGAAATGCACCAGTCATGTAAATTTTATAGTTCATTAATTGCTCATTTTATTCACTGACAAAAGCAATATTTATTTTAGGAATTATGTTGAAACAATCGATGACCGTTTTCCAACTTAAGTTTTAACTGATGGCGAATTGTTGACTCGACGAAGACTGAGCACAGGCCACCTGTATCAGCCCGCTACACCGCGCTGTCGAGATCTGCCGCTCCTTTTATAGCTCACCTGCATTGAGATTTGTGAAACATTCCACGTGTTAGGTAGTGTTTAAAGTTAAAGCCGCAAGGACCCTATTACATTTTGATTGTTGATTTATTGTTGGGTGACCAGAGAACGCGATCCTTAAAATCCCAGAGGTCAAGTTTATTTTGTATCATCTCTGGCCACATTGTCAGTATTATTGCAATCTCAAAGCAACTGATATCAGTGGTTAACTACTTACTATTTCATAATTATTGTCGGGAAAGAAAACAAAGAAGTTGCTTCTTAAATCTAAATTGCAATACAAGTAAGAAACGTCATTACTATTAATTTTTAAGTCGTAATATGTTGAGGTATCGAACCGTTGTGAACATTCCCGAATTTTAAACATTTTGCCCTTGATTGATAAATTGTAAATTAATGTACTAGTAGACCCGTTGTGTCGCTCCTGCTGTACATAACTGAGATTGTGTGTATAAACGATTATAGTAAGCAACCTGTGAATTGGAGGGCTGTATGGATTGTACTTAATAAAATATAAATGAATCACTAATAAGGTAATTACGGTGTGATAATCCACTTTAGTACGCAAGCCAAACTAATGGTCTTGTGGAGAAGTAGTCAATGTTTTAAAATACACTGGCGAGCCAAAATATCTAGTCACCTAGCAAGCCATGATGTATGAAGTTTAGAAAAGATTCCTGTATGTATAAATTGTTTTAGAACTCGATTATTTATAGATTATGTGTGCCTTGATTTTTTGCTCGTCACTGTATTTTGAACCATAATTTAATTTTCAGATAGTCTGTGTTTGATGTCACTAGTTTGGACTTAGACCAGCATTTTGTTAAGAATTCTACAGCATAGTTACTGTATGCAACCCGTGAGCCGCTTCACATGCTAAACAGTCAGTCGATAGAACTGTTCCTTGTTAAGAGTTTTATACTTTGCGACGATGTAAATAATGATTGATTGATACATCTTCATCAAACACGTAGTTACGCAATTATGGATTATTATAAGATTTTTACACGCGTCACGGCAGTCGCCGGACATTTTAACATTAGACATTAGTTATTATGTTTATTTTCATCCTATTTATGTTTAGGTTATCGACTAACCAGCATATTCTAATGAAATATCGTAGGAGTATGTAAATCTAGATATAATTTGAAAGTCACTGGAAATATAGAAGACGCACGTGCTCTTAATAGTTCTTATATTCTCTTGCGATCACGGAATTATCGTGAACGCATATATTTTATTTTTGATTATGTAAAGAGAGCTTGGCAAAAGAATATATCGTCAATTTGGTGCTTCGTTTTACTATATTCTGATAAATAGAAGGCCCTCCACAATGTGAGATGTTTATGATTTTGTGTATAACTAAAGCTATGTGAAAGATGTACATAATGATTATAATGATTTTATGTAAATTGGTTAATAAATATTTGAGAATGTTTATATAATCAAATTGGCTGGTTTTATTTCATAAACACCCTTCATACATAGATCACTGATACATTTATTGACTTAAATTTTTACATGTTTAGCTCTAATACATGACCATTACTCAATCATGGGTGTGGCAGGTGCAGGTCGTCCACTGACACTGTTGAACAGTCTGTCCTTGATCATCTGCGCCATAAGACCGTGGATTACCTCGATGGTAGTCTTGCAGGCATCCTTGGTTGCCTTGCCGAGTTTATCTTCAGTTCGTTTTTCATGGGGGTCAGCGCCCGCTACGATGAATCCTCCACGGCCTGTGGCGAACAAAATCACTTTTATTTACCGAATTTGCTGAAAGTCCAAAATAATTAGTATAATTGTTTTTTAAATAGTTGTTTGACTTTGTAATACGATATAACGGAAACTGCATTTACCTAAGCAAACTTCACTTTGCTCCAGCTTGTCCGACAAGTCAAATATCTGTCCAGTAGTGTAGTCAGCATTAGTGATCAGACTGGAACTGCTCAGCGTATTCACCCAATACTTGTTCCAAAGAGAATCCAGTAGCCTCCGGTCAAGTGAGGACTTGAAGTAGGACACTTCTAGTGAATAGTACTGCTTGCAATGCACTCCAAAGTCCTCAATCTTGTTAAGAGGGATTGTCTGATACTCCGAGGGTTCTTCATTTGCTGGTTTGTACCCCTTAAACATTAAATTTTTATTATACTTCAATCAAAAGTAATCAAGAGAATAATAAGTGAGAAATAAAATGTAGGCATAATATTGTTGTCTCAAATGCCTGATATTAAATGTAATAAAATTATAATTATAAAAAAAAATACCTTAGGGTAGGTCCTAAAAGCTCCCAGGCAGACCTTGCCAGCTGAGATGGTTCTGACGGGATCAATGACAATAGCTACAAATGGTTCCTGGAAGTTCTGGTTCAGCATCTGTGTGGAGACATCAATGCCAGACAGCCAGCAACCATAACCAGGGTGGCTGTGGTACCAACCAATAGCATTCTCATGACGGCCAACCTGAAAATCAAAGATAAGATTTCCTTCCAATTTCTGCCCAAAGTTTGCCAAAAATTTCTTTACAAAGGTTTGAATTTTAATTAATTTCTAGTGCTCCTGAATTGTGAATTTAGTCTTTATCATTCTGATAAGTTAAATTATAATTTTATGTCTAATTTTCATCCAATATCAATTTTTAATAAAAATAATATTTTTTGAGTTAAGTTAAAGTTTGTTAAATTCCAAAACCAAATCACTTTTTAATAAGAAAAAAACAAAGGAGAATTTATTGCCATTACCTGCTTAGCAGCCTCAATATATGCAGTCATGTACTCATATGCCTGTGCTTGAGCATTCACTCTGGTCTCCGTACCCTCCACAGGTAAAGCAAACGAGTCCATTACTATCATTGTATTTGCATCTACCTTACCTACAAAATAAATATAAAATCATAATCAGTAAGATACTATTTTCATTTTGTCATCTCTCATAATAATTTGAATGGTGTTTGTGGTTCTATAAACAAAGGTCTAGTTAGTCTAATATTTATTGATTCTGTTATATGTGTGTGAATATGTATGTGATCCTAAATAAGTAAACATTATTACAGAGGCAAAAAATTAATGTAGTCACATTATAGGTCGTTGCACACGAGTATCATACCTAAAAGTAATCCCATAACTTCTAAAGTTCCTCCAGAACGAGCATGCATCACCATCTTGAGAAGAGCTAGAGCTGAGATCTTAATATCTTTGAAGAAATGCGGGCTGAAACAAGGAAATGCAAATAAATAACAGTTACACCAGTCATTGTCGTCATCACTTTAGTTACAATAGCCTTTCCTGCCGATCGCCCCAGCCCCAGCCCCAGCCCCAGATCGCCCGGTTAGACAAGCGTTCATTGTCATCAAGGTATTCAATCCTACTTACTCTTTCTCCCAAGGCTTCGCTGCAAGTATGTCCTGTTGTTGTTTTTTATCATAGCGATAGATTTCGTCCACACTGGATACAGTTTCGATGTTGTTCGACATAACCCATGTCTTCTGTGCGATGGACGACTGCGAATCGGCACTTGTAGATGCCATATTGATATCTTTTTGGGATTAGTCTACTTCAAATTGCTAAAATATTAACACTGCCTTTCCAATACGTTCATAAATTTAGAAAAACAAAATCAAATCACACAATAGCAATAGCAGACGGAATATAGCTTTGTTTGGCAGAAAGATGACAATTATAAGCTATGACATTGACAAGTGACAGTAACGTTGATTACCGATTCTTTTTAAAATTAAAATCTTTATCAGGAGCCTTTTTAGCTATTTGAATTATCTTAGATTTTTATAAAGAGACTTTATTTCTATTCAGCGGAGATTCCTTAGGTGTCGTTGTCACATAGACTACAAACATTCATAATCATCATCAAACGGGAATTAATAAACGATGGTAAAGATTTTTTTCTTGAAAACCAGCTTTTAAACCTTGTGTTGAACTTTAATCTCCGACCAAAATCAAGTTTGGAGATTTTTGGCGAATATACAGTGTCACAGAAGATTAGTCGTATGTATAGTGTATAGCTTTGTCCATCACATGACCACATTTTACTAGAAATAGCAACAGAGGAACAACAGAAATGTGAATGGCTATAAGGTGAAGAAACTGCCATCAGCTTTCTACTTAGGTCACTTGCATCTTTAGAGGTAGGATGTTGCTACACATCTACCTAAGCTACCTGCATCATTGGCGCACTCGCCGCTTACGAACAATTTCCAACCTCCGAGCCAGATCTTTGCTCACAAGACCAGGTGTCTTGAGAGCAATCATCTGGCTGGTGGAGCACTCAGGTCAGCCAATGAAGGCAAGCCAGAGATGTAAGACTTGTTCTTATTCATCGTTTTAATCGTCCATAACAAAAGGTAAATTCTTTCTGGAGTACTCGGGATGCCGATAGCCCGTGGGATCGCTGAACGGCTGAACAAAATAAGCTGAAGAACTAACAGCCGATGTGTCATGCTTGGATACAAAAAAAAAACATGAATTCATACGTTTGGCGTGGTGGCTGGGCACGAGTTCGAAGTCGAACAAATGTGTGTTCCACAAATTGTATTCTGGGTATGGATGTGTTGTGTACCTATGTGAAATTGTGTGTTTCTAAAAGCACCCAAAAAGTAATTAATGTTGAATTTGTAATCGAATGCTGTAATGTGACTAGGAAAAATGTCAAACACTAAACCTTGGTCTTTGGAAAAGAGTCTTGGGTGTGACTCCTATTTTGAACAACATAAATAAATGTGTTTAGCTTTATCGAATTTAATTTATTTATTTATCCTTCTTTCCCAATGTACAACGGCGGACTTAATTAGACTTTCTTTGCCAGTCCTTTTGTTTGTTTTAATTTTCTTGTAACAAGGCAGAATACAGGACATGGATTCAGGAGAAAAGCGGTTTTCAAAAAATTTTACTAATATTCAAAAATTATAATATATTATATATAAAAAAAGTTCTCATCAATATAAAGGAATTGGGTCCAAAAAATATAAGTAATTACTCTAAAGAGATCCCACGATTGTGTTCCGGCTCCATCATCAGATTTACTGCATAACTTCATAGTAGGTAACCCAAAGGTAAGTGCAAACTTTTCATCGATAAAAACGAATGAGGTTTAATCACGAGGTAGTTAGGTACTGTACTGTACCTAAACCGTTCAGGAGTTCATGCACTGAACTGTCCTTCGTTATCATCATCAGACCCTTAATAACAGTAACGACCAGTGTTGGTGGAAACTGCTCATCAATACGAATTAATCAAGCCCAAACACAAAGCACTACTGCAAATAGTCAAGGAGATCCCTCGACTGTCTTCTTGCTCTAACATCAATAGACCTTCATTAAGTTGCAGTGTGCCTACCTGATGAAATGGCACATAAAAGCACTACGAACCCCGATATTTTTTGAAAGATCCCCTCGATTTCTTTAGTCTTATATCATGAGCTTATGATTTCCTTATCATGGGACGATTCTGAGACTATCTCCTTTCCAACAAAAATAATTATCAAAATAGTTTTATAAATAACGGAGATATCGGCGAACAAACATGAAAACAAACATTATACCTATGGTTTGAAAGTCGATTAAAATAATATGATTAATGCACCTAAATACCTCAATAAAAGCTAGTCTAACATCAACGCACCGCTGTCATTACATCAGAAACAGTTTCCTAGTTTACTAAAACCTTACATCAGCCGGTTGTTTATAATACTAAAGTTCAAAGTCAATAAAATTTCATCAGACAAAAGTGACTAATAAATAAATAATGGTAATACTCGTGTGACTCATATCATAATTAGACTAGAACACAATGTAATTTCAATAAACTTTGTTTATCAGACTTTGATTTTAAATCAAATTATAAAATTACTTAAAACATGGATTGATTAATTTTATTTAAAAAATTGTTTTTGTCTCACACTTACACGTGCAAAACACTATTCTCTTTTTCATTTTATTCCGTATGCCATTTTTATGGCGTCATATCTTCTATCTCTACCTAATATATACAATAGCATCTTCTGTCCTTCTCTTTCATGCAATTGACGTCATTTTGCCGACACCCCCATGATAACGTTTAACCAATCACAGAGCACCACATACACATTTTCGAGAATCTAGAAAAATATTTATTACTCGCTGAGAAGCCGAACATGTACGACGCAATTGTGAATAGCTCGCCCGCGAGGAAATATCATATAAAAGTGCTCTAACAAATGCTCGATACGGAAAATCAGAAAGCTTGATAGTATGCTTACGTTAAGACACTAAATTATTATCATCAGCTACCAGTGTTGTGGGGTGTTTGTTTATAACTTGTGATAAAACAAATCAACAAGATGAGCGGTCCCATAATCATCACGGTGCCCAACAACTACCTGGCCATGGAGGCGGTCGAGGAGTTGGAGTCGAAAGTGTTGGTGGATTTACCCTCTCCGGCTCCCTCCAGGAAGCGTCGCCTGGACCACCTCACGTGGGAGGAGAAGATGCAAAGAAAGTGAGTCATTTACGATTTGATGTAACATTGCTTGCGTGTCGGACAAAACCTTTACACGGAGAGGTCAACTTATAGTGGTGGTGGGCGTGAATGACGTTTCGGTATTTCTGTATTACTAGACCTTTCTTTGTTATTTGTTTGTAACAGCCGTCTGCTAATATTTATAATGCTATAGAAACCATAAAATTTGTAAAGGATAATCAACTTAAAGAGTAATTTTGTCATCTTAGACTTAAAAGATACTAGGTGCAATGTATTCTCCGTGCGTTTGTTGACCTCACGTTCCGTTATGTACAGTTACGTTCAGCAATAGTTAGCACCTTCCAATAAACATGGTTAGCGACAGCAAATTGTTACATTGTATGTTTATTTGTCACCAGGAAGCTGAAGAACCGTGTAGCAGCACAAACTTCCCGCGACAGGAAGAAGGCGAAGATGGATGAGATGGAGAGTCGGATAAAGTACTTCATGGACATGAATGAGCGGTTGACCAGTGAGGTGGAGAGCTTGAAGGCGCTGAACGAGCGTCTGTTGAGCGAGAACGCAACGCTACGCAGCGAAGCGGCGGCGGCGCGGAGCGTCGCGGGTGCCCCCAGACCAGCAGAGTCTATTCCTCAGCAGAAGGAAGGGCACCCGACGGCACTCCGGGCGGCGCGCCTGCTGCTGGTGATGTGTCTCCTCTCGCAGACCTCCTCGCACACTTCGATTCAGACGAATACCTCGATACCCTCACTCAACTTGCAGACTCCCTCTTCAAAGAAATTGATGCAAATGCTGCAGGAACGCCTCAAAATGTAAGTTTATAACAACCAATATACCTTACTGTATACAACAATACTCTATTGGAGTTTTGTAGCTATCTGTACAATGTTGTTGGGAATTTCCTGTTTGTTGAAACTACAATTTCATTTCCTTTAGGTCAGTAGTATGTGAATCATGCTGCAATACAATGAATCATGTTTGAAACTTAATAATACTTTCACCAACAAGAACCAGATCATAGCAAACTGATGTACTTACATGATAAGATAAAAGTGCTGATTTTGTTTGGTTAAAAAGGTTTATTAACCCTTATCTTTATCTTGGAGTGACCCGGATGATGCAATGTTGAATGAAAATTACATCATAATACATGGTACTAAAGTGTTAAATTGCTTGTTCCAAACTTGTTTGTTATGCAAATCATAAATGCGTACATGTATTATATTGTCACAACATTCAAAATCAAGTTGAGTTGCAATTTTATCATATTGCATCATCTCTTTTTACAAACTTTACTTGACAATGTAATATCATATTTGTAGTCTCAAAACCAAAACTCATTTTGCTTTCTATTGTTGTAGGACACAGTCAGGAAAGCTGGAGAGTGCATTGAAGGACCTAAAGTGGTGGGGACCGCAGCAGAGCACCTGGAATCCAGTGAAGGTGCAGTCGTAGACATCAAGCACGACGTCGACAGGATACTGTCCCAGCATTCGTATGCGCATCCTTACAAACCAGAAGTGGTCACAGACACACAAGTACAAATTAAGGAGGAGAACAATGACAAAGGGGACATGTTCTACGCCAGCTGTGATGAGGCCAACGACTGCATCACCATTGAAGTGCCATGTGAAGAACAAGTTGAAGAAACTCCTTTACAGATTAAGACTGATTTCCCTCCTTTGACGGACTGCTCGGGAATGAAATTAGAGTGTGACATGAAAATGCTCTCTCCAATGACAATGTCGCCTAAATCTGTAGAGGAGAACCTCGGCCTGTGGCCTTCACACACAATCTTGAGCTCTGACCTGGGATACGAGTCATTAGCTTCACCGCTCAGTGAACCAGAATCTATGGACTTGTCAGACTTTTGGTGTGAATCATTTTCAGAATTATTCCCCGGTCTAGCATAGAATGTTTCTGCATTTTGACTCCCACCAAAGACTGACTAGTTTTTAAGTTCTAAGTTAATGTGTACCTTTGTTAAGTTTATAAAATGACAACTTTAATTAGTGTTTGTGTACCTATTTATGTTAAGTAAATATTTTATAATTATTGAAATAATTCTATTGTAATTAAGTGTTTAGTTAGGATGCACATATGTTTGTAAATAAACAGTTCAGTGTCTTGTCGAATTTTGTTGTTTTCTTTGTGAACATTATGAAAACATTTTCTATGAAAGTATAATAATATACTTCAAGTCATCGCAAAGGGGTAACGAAAACATGGATACATTAAATGGTTGGATATTTATATATTGTGACAAAATTTATAAAACGTAAAAATGTCAGGTATCTAATGTGATCAATAAAATGTCAATCGAAAATAAATCAAACAATAATAAAAATTAAATAAGTCGATAAAGTTATACTAAGATGTCGTCATTTATTATAAAAAGATTAAATAGACTTATTTAATTTATAGGTACAAGTATCAAAAAATAGCCATCGCGGTTGTCTCACGGGGGAAATGTGGATGAGCCGTAGCTCTCTCGAGTTGTAGCGTAATAGCTTTAAAAGTTCTTAGCTATTGATAATAAATAAATAGTAACAGCACCTATGCCTATCGAATGAAATTATAGCCGGATTCTGCAGTGTGGATAGTTCCCCAATAATAAGTAAAAGCATCGTGATTATTATCTTGAAATGCGTCATCATTATTTGTTCTAGGTCAGTAAGTTTCAACGTGCATACCCAAAATATACAGTGGGTTTAGATTATCGTAATACCATCTATATTTACCAAGTATAGAGGTTTTGATATCAGCATCAATTCGTCGAACAAAATATCAGCCTTGTTATATGCAGTAGGTACTGGACTTTTACCTTTTTTTAAAACTAAACCTAAACCTATATATCTTCCTAAACATTTCTTCGATAAAAAGAGCAAAAGATTATTTATCTAAAAATATTAAATTCCTGGTACAAATGAATGATTACGTTATGAAAAATAAATAGGTATCAACTTGGAATTTCCGATGGACAGACAATTCTTATTATTAGGAAAGCACAAGATAAAACACGAAATTATATTATTATTTAATCATTAATAAATTCAGCTGATATGTTCGTGCTTGATAAGAACCTAATTAACTGTAGCGATAATTTTTGTTTTAGTAGGTAGGTACTGTATATGTATAGGTGACAGTGTAAATATATTTATTGAGTTAGCTTTACCTAAATTAAAATACATTTCAATTCAACGGTTTTTATTTGTTTTAAGCTTATGCAAATATATGTATCTCCCTATGTGGAAATAACGGCAACAGGATGAGTTACTGAGTTAGAGAGAGCAAAGCAACCAATAACATGTACTTAGATACCAAGTTTTTTCACGGTTTTCTTCTCTAGATTTCTTTGTTACCAGATTATTTTTAAATGAGGTAGGTATTATAAAAACATTTTAAAAAACAATACAAACTAGGTAGGTACTACTATAAGATTTAGCCAAAATACCTATAAGTACAAATTTTCGAATTGCTCTATTTGTCACCAAAACTTAGATATATTTTAGCTTTTGCCCGCGACTTCGTTCGCGTGGACTTCAGGTTCGTCCCGTCTAGTCTAGTAATAAGTAAGAAATACGGTTACTAAGCACTGCAGAACACTAATCATAGGTCTATAGGTAGCTACTGCAGTATGCTCCTATAAACTACATTTAACGATCTTTTTCCTCCAGCATAAACATGCAGATTCTTCGCTTTGGAAACGTAAGCGCAAAAAATGTGTTTTTTTCGACCTCAGATTAGAAACCTCAAAAATTGTAGCCTATGTGTTATTCTGATGTAGGTATAAGCTATATTGTGGTAAAGTTTCATTCAAATCCATTCAGTAGTTTTTACGTGAAAGAGTAACAAACATCCATACATCCATACTTACAAACATTCGCCTTTATAATAGTAGTAGGATAATATTTTTCTTATTCTGGTCGGGCTGCGAGTTATCTTTGCTTGCCGTCGACAGACCCTCGCTTACGGTGGCTGCAGATTGTGTCGCGATACCAACGCTCTGTGCGTCATCTGCTGCGGAATAACGTACCGTCACTCTTTAACCCTTTCCTATCTGTGATCTCACACAATTCGCTTTAGCTTTAGCTACCAAGACTGCGCCTTAAAAAGAGGAGACAGCTTCTCAGTTTGTCTGGCTGGCATCACGGTCTAAACCATAGCTGTTCGCGAGAGATCGAAAGACATATTTGCTGATCGACGGACAAGGTTGGAGTGGTCCTTGCTGAAGTGAACCATCTAATAAAATGTTGTATCTAAGATCTCATCAACAGATTCAGTATGATATTCTACTACAGGCTTAGCAGTGTTCATCTTGTGGCTGACCATGATCATGGTAAAATAGAAATAGGTATAATATCTACCATTGTATTTAAGTACATAGGCTATAAGTATCTACGATAAGTACATAGGCCATATCTGCATTTTCAGAACAGGCCATATCTAGATACGTTTGTATGTGTTCATTACACGGGTAAATACGTTTAATAAATAAGCAAACGATTCATTATTTTCCCGATAACAATTATCGATAATTACATCTAAAGGTGTTTAAAACGTAAATTACGCGAAAATTCCAATTATTCGTACCATGTTTTGTAAATGTTTTGCTATTACATAGTAAGTAGGTAAGTAGATGCCTATATACCTACTTATTGGTAGGTCGATAGCGAGATTGTGAACCAAAACGGCCGTAGGTATAGGTAGGTACGTAACTACCTACTTTCTTGAAGTTTTTTTACGTAGGTTTGTACCTGAGAACATAAAATGTCGATAAGTGATGCCAAGTTGGAATGAAATACTTTCGGCGGATGTAATAGGTACCTACTATCGAGGCAGAAGCCCGTCGGTTCGGTTTCATACCTGCATTTACTACCTATGCGTGTCGTGTCGTTTCAAACTGGGGCGTTCTGGCGCGACACGACACGCCACCTAACACAAATGTGTAAACATGTAGTGTTATATTTACCTATATTAATTAAAAAAATATATGTATTAGGTACTTACCTATACCTATCTAGTGGCAGTAGATATCTAATATGTAGGTACCTAGATATAAGCACGCTTGCATAAACAACCCTTTGAAGATCAAGTAAAAGGCATTATTTTATAAGAAGCTATCTCGACTCATATTTTACTTTCACTTCAAGATAAAATTCGAATGAAGACCTACTATAAAAGTCGGATGTTCATTATTTTCTTCATCATTTTTATTTGATCTGTTATGGAACAAGGTCTCAAGGCACTTTCCCAATGGACTTACCAATCTAATGGGGATGATTTTTTTGATGCAGCATGTAGGTGTAGTTATTGTTAGTTTTTAGATCGAAATACTACTTAATAAATTAGTTTATAGAACTGACTATAAAACATTTCTCGAAAGAAATAAAAAACAAAACTTTCATTTAGAACTCCGTCGTATGTTATCAAGGACGTTTAAAAATCGATAAATACATGAATAATGCACGCGCACCTGTATTAGTTCAGATGTAGATATTGAGGACAAACGAATTGTTAATGAGATATCGATTTATAATTTAATATCAAAATTATAATAAGTATTTAATAATTAATTCATGACCCATGAACACCCTCAACACTACCTAAAGAAGTTACGAATGCGTTGCCGGCGTTTTGGGGATAAGGGTTTTGGATACTAAGGATTGGGAAGGTGAGTTTCGTGGTGGCCCGGAGGTTAGGCTCGCGCTTTTCATGCTTGAGGGTGCGGGTTCGAAACCTGGCAAGTACCAATGTGACTTTTTCCGAGTTATATATACTTTATATGATTATATAGACACCACTGACATACGGTGAAGGAAAAAATCGTGAGGAAACCTTTTTTTTATGTAGGTAATAGCTCGGCAAACGAGCAGACGGATTACCTGATGGTAAGCAATCAGCGCCGCCCATGGACACTCACAACGGAGGAGTTACGAGTGCGTTGCCGACCTTTTAGGGATTAGGGATTTGGAGATTTAGGGATTGAGGAGGGATTGGGGAAGGGGAAGGATTGGGCTGGACTTAAAATTTCTAATTATAAGTTTGAAATTGCCAATCCACCTTTAGCAAGCGTGGTAATAAATGCCCAAACCTTCTCCGTGTAAGGAGAGGCCTTTGCTCAGCAGTGGGCACTTATAGGCTGATGATGATGATGAAGGGATGGGAGGAGGTGTAGGGATTGGGCCTACGGTAACCTCACTCATACGGCGAATCACAACGCTGTGTTGTTTTACGGTTTTTGTGACGCCGTGGTATTACTCCGGTCGAGTCGACTCATTCGTGCCGAAGCTTGGCTCTCAGACACTGCCACAGAGTACGATTGTTTTTTAATTCGTAATTTGGCCGCTATCACGCCTGGAGGTAAGCGATGATGCGACCTACGATGGAGCACTTCTACCTAAAAGCAATCTATCAACCTATTCATTTGGGCTTTGAAGATACCCAGGTTATACCTACACTTCAGGGAACACAAACTCCAGCAAAGAATTAAGAAATTTATTTATTTGAGATTAAAAGAAGAAAACATGTTTTGTGAAAAAAAGGGAAATACCAGTGCTTAACGAGCTTCATTCCTATATGACTAGGTTAATGACTTAATGACCTAAAATGAGGGAAATTATAAATGATGTAGGTAATATACAAATTAGCCATGCGATATGATATCTTATTCCAATCACATTATACAATACGGTTTCCAACCGGTTGGCAAACGCAATAATGTCCCTACGGCCCTGGCTCGACGTACATAAGTGAAGGAACACAGTAGCTTCTAGTCCATAAACTATGAGTCTGACACCTTTTACTCCACCCAAGGCAGGACAAGCCATTTCACGATATAGACCACTAAAAAAAACAGTAAGTAGTTTGTGTAGTTTCTGCCTATAACTAACATATGTACCTATATCTAACTTCTTCGTGTGAGAAGAGGCCTTTGTTCAATAGTAAGTACTTCAATAGTAGCAGATGATAATGATGACCAAGAGATAAAAGCAGAAAAACTGAAGGTGTAGATAATTAGTATCAAAAACACCAAATAAAACAACAACATTAAAAAAAACATTAAATATATTTGTTAAAATATTACAGATTCAATAAAATCGTGTCTCATAGATTACATAATCGTTCGGTACAGTACGGAACTATTACATCTAACTACCAACATTATATACGAGTTGATACCCGCTGCCATATTGTTATCAAAGCAGAATGAAGCGATAAACTATACGCCAGCTCTCATGAACAAGTTTTTTAAAGCCGCAACGATTGATGCTCAAAATGTTCTGCAACGTTGCCCAACAGCTAAATGTATAGACAATAATATAATTCGTCGTCATATCGCTCGTTAAGCGTTGTTAAGCGGATACAAAACTTTTAAATATTAATATTTAAATTTCGATAAGCATGGCTGGTATGGATGGGTCTCCGCTCCGATGATTTTCCTCAATACGAATATGTTTAAATAGAATTTATTTTTCAACAGACATCCTGTACACAGGTGTTAAATTACTTATTTAGTTTTGCGGTATATTGCCCGTCAACCTATAAATATTTATTTTGCAAGTGATGTAACATAGAAAATGTGTGTGTGTCTTTAAATTAAAAATTGAACAACCCACCAACCCACCCACCAACAAGAACAATTTTAATCGTAATCGCATTTGAATAGACAGTACTTTTTTCGCCAGTGGCGCCATCTGATTTTCGCAAAAGTATTATTGCCAAATTAGCTATTAATCAACAAAAATATTGTTATGCGGTGAGCGCTGGCCGTAACAATGTGAGCGATAAGTTTGGCACTTACTAACGAACTTCGATAACATAAAATGAGAGTAATAGTTATAAAACTATAATAACAACGAAGCAAATAACTGTACAGCGTAACGCTAATGGAAGATACAGAACTTAGAATAATTGAGTTGATTCTATTATGTGCTGAGCGTATACATAATATAAATATAAATTAAAATGCAATGTAAAAACTATTGGATTGTCGTAACAGCACATTTCATTTAATCTTTCCTAGAAATACGCGACAGAATTTTGTATGTTTTGTAGAAATTTTAATAAAAAGTTCTTATGAAATAAGAGTCAAAATCGATTGTATAAATTAAATGGGACGAAGTAATATTGATTGATATTTGATTTATCTAAAGTATGTGCTTATCAAATATCATCAGACACTTAAGGAAAAACCATTCAAATATACATAGGTATCTAAAATTTAGATTCAAACTTTAATATCAATGTCTTTCATTTCCGTTGACAACAATTAGAAAAAGATTCAAATTTGTGAGCAATTAAAAATTAACTGTATTGCAAAGTTCTACAACTCAATTTTATTAAATTCTGTCGCGTATTCCTTACACAACATTCTTGTAAACCGGCGATACACTAAGCGCTATGAGCTAACTGTCTGAGACACATAAACAATACAATGATAGCACTACCTATTTTCAATAACATTTCCAAAATTTGTATCCTATCTAACGATTTTAGTATAAACACTAGATTTTTAGACTTAATTAGTTCGAATCACATGCAACTAGTAAGAACTATAATTATTATTACTAGAATGACAGTGTGAGCTTTTGTTTACAATTTTTCTGTTATAGTCCAGTCAAAGGAGACACGGTTTTGGGAGGCAAATAAATAATTTTTATTTTTATTAAAAAAAAACAACTTTTAAAAAGGCATTATTTATAATAAAATCGAATGAGGGAAACATGGCATCTAAAACCACCATCATTGTCATATTTTAAATTATTCATGTCACTCAGAGATTAAATTTTCATTTGACTGGACTATCTAATAAATTCTACATTTTATATTTATTTATACATTTATTAATATTACCTATGTGTAGGTATTGGTACTCTTTGAATGTATGGTCGAAAATCTTGTGCGTTATTAAAGATTTGTACCTTGTAAAACATTACGTTTTATTAGAATTAGCGATAAAGAATATTAATTTCACAGATTATACTGCAACGTCAAAATTTAGCATCTATGCATCTGGTTGAAATAAGGTTTACTTTCGCATGTATTTTCATACTACACTTAGTTTAGCTGAGAATTTAGGCCATAGAGTCATTTATTTATCGAAAGTCATAAAAATCATTGTATTATCATTGTTCAGGATTCTTGAAATAATTTGATAAGCCGTATAACCAACTTTAATAGTACACAGTATAATTTTATCAGTATTTATTTCTTATCTTATGATTTTAAATAGAGTTATACTTTAGATAGGTAGGAGGAAATCCCTAACTAAAACAATCTGATGAGGTCATTTAACAAGAGAAAAAAAAGTACTTACTATTTAATTGATTATTATTGTTATTTGATAACTAAAAATAAATATGGTCTGAGTTCCCTAGTTAAGGCCCGAGTGAATAGGTTGTATGGTGGTGTTGTTGCTCAATCGTAGCTCGCATTATCGCTTCCCATCAGGCTTGATTGAGGGAACGGCCTCCACATCACGAAAAAAAAAACATACATTTCTTTGGCATTTCTGTGCCATAGTTTTTTTGTGTGTCCCAAAACTTTTGTGTTGTATTATGTGTGTTGTAAAATGTGTTTATTTCCTTCCTTTCTGGTCGTAAAAGCATTTTACGGTAATGTCCAAAGACTTTTCATGACGCGTGTGAAGCCACAGGCAGAAACCTAGTAGACAAGTAAATAATATGTATATAACCAAACAAAATAACAAACTCTTCAAGTTTGTAATATTAATAAATTGAACAGTAAAACCAACTAAGAATATCGATTTATACTCGTTTATCATAATGGCGGAGTTTTATCGGCGAATTCCAAGGCCGTCGGTACCCAGTTATCGGGAGCTATTAAAGAAATTTCTAGCATTCGCATACATTGTTAAATATCTTTAGACCTAACATTGCATTGTTAATACTTTTGCAGAATGGTTATTGAACAAGTTTTTTTGAGGGGGAAAAAGTATAAAAAACCCCCGTTCCGTTTCTTGCTAAGAGTATCCTTTTTGTATTTTAAAATTTTAATTTATATTCGTAGCTTTCAGCGTTAGTACTGAGCTAAATCATGTATAGTGAACTCATCATAAGGCCGCGGTAGATTATTACGCAATCAAATTTGGCACAACCCGGACTTAATATCAGCCTTATTGGGCCCGATCTGTTATTGATAATTAGAATTACTTCTTTCGGATGGTAAAAGAAGAAAAATGAGCTAAGTGACCAATTGACACTGTATTCTATTGATAAATTGACTATTGTATAATTCCAATTGCATTGTGTATGTAATATTTCTATGTATTAATCTACTATTGTATGCCCTACGGGCAGGACATAGCTGTCCACAATTTATTATATTTCTGCCACCTGTAATATGTACCTACCTATGATCCACAATAAAGATTGATTTGATTTGATTTGAAGTTTATCTTTAGATACAAAACGGGTCGTTTTGTATCTAAAGATATAATACCCCAAATACGACGTGAAAGAAAGAGACACAAACACTTTTAAGCAATTATTATATTAAAGTAAGAACATTAATTTTTCGCTGATTAAATAATTATCGTTATAATAATCTAATAGAGAAAAACAAGGTTCCATTCAAAAAGAAGTAGAGTTGACACTTTCAATATTATCTTATCTTATATTTGTAATTTCTAATTGTACCTTATTATCGGATGAATTTTTACAGATCCCCGAATAGATTAAAAAATCCGGTCAATAGAAGTCAGATCCGCGTACGGAAGTGTTATACTTATCAAAAGCATATTTGGTGTATTTTTCAGTATATTAGCAAAAGAAATACACAATCTGTGTACAATTCGACTGTCTTGTCTAGCTTTCACGGTTTATGAGATACAGCCTAGACGCTAGACAGACAGACGGACGGACGGAGAGTGGTCTTATTTTATTTATTAATTTATTTCTCCTGTCTTAGCAAAGGATAAGGAGGGAAAAGGATATTTTCAAAGAGTTTCTATATTACCATGTATTATTAAATGCTTTATGTTATTTATATTTTTAATATACTGTGTCATACTAAAGTTGGAAATTTTAATTGGCATATCATTTATTTATTCAATTGGCTATTATCTTTTCAAGGTTGCGCTAAAAATTATCATAATTCATACTTTTCGCTTTAGACTTGAGACATAATTAATATGAATCGTGTCAATCGATTTCTATAACATAAATATATCTTAGTTAGTTATTTCTTTACAATGTTACGACGTAAATATTTTCTTTATATAATATCATACAGTTTTAAATGTCGTATGGCACTATCACGACTCACAGTCGCCACATAGTTAATTAATTAGAACCATCATAATTTGAACATGTTACAATTAAAATACTGCAATCAATCGATATTATCGATTCAGTCACAGCACTATTATTTTCTTTTTCTCATTTATTTAAATATCGAATGGTCACAGTTTTAAAAGACCCACCATCTTGTTTAGTGCACTGTGACGTCATGATACATTTTGACAGTTTAACCAAAGAGTTTGTCAAAGCATGTATGGCAGTATGGTTTGTCGTTTTGTTCTTTGAATGTGCCTTTATTGAGTTGTCTGAGACAGAACGCGCATACGAAGTGTTCTGGGTGGAATTTTCTGAACATGGCTGTGATGCAACGGCCGGCGATAGGTTTGTGGCAGCCGGCACAGAGGGAGCCACGTTTGCCGTGGTAGTGGGTCTCACAGTAAGGTTGGCCTTCGTGTTCGAAGAAAGATCCTCCATGGAAAGGCTCACGACATTCCTGAAAACAAAAGAACATTCTTATAATTAATTGTATGACTGTAAGCACATTTTTATATACTAAATAGATATATTACAAATAAATCCTTTTTGAAGGAAGGAGTTGTGGCATTCGTTTTTCAAAACTTGCATATTGGCATCACAACAATATTTGTAACATTTGAAATGATACGATCTTTGCACGATATATTCGAAGAGGATGTTATAATAAAGGAAATGACGCCACAGTGATTGTTTATTGATGTTTGCGTAAGCTCATGTTTGATACGTTTGATGATATCTGCTTACAGATAATAGATATGCAGATAGTATCAAGGACTATATACTGTGGATTTTGGTTGTAATATTATTTTGAACTAATCGTGTTATGATGTTAGAATAATTATGTTTGTAACGTCTACGTCTAGTCTTTCCGTGGGTGTGCGAAGACCAGACATAGCGCGGCCATTAGAAGTCACCTGAACATTTACATAGCGATCTTGGTAAAGGTTTAAATGAAATTAATAAAAATGAAAGATCTGTATTACGTATGTGAGTAGTGTTTGTAAGACAATCAAATACCATATTTTTAATACATATGCCAAAATCAATTAATAATTTTAGCACATCTAAATAACAAACCAATTTGATTTAACATTTTCGTAACGCATGCATGTATAGAAAATATAGTCCTTATTAATACATACTCCTTTGTGTGATATATAACGTATATTTATTTATAATACATGTATATTTTGACATCTACAAGAGCCTGTAATGGTCTAATTGAAACAAATGATTTTGACGTTTATAGTTTACTTGTCTTACAAATTAATATAAGTAGAGGGCGCTTCGTACGTTTATGGGCAGTAAAAACGTGTTTAGTTATAATACACAACATAAAATATAGCATAAAAATACTCAAAACAATAGGCCATTCCAGTAAAAAAGCAGTTAAATTGTAGCAGTTAAATAATAGGCCATAACCTATCTTAATTTAATGTATATTGTATAACTGAACTGGTTTATGGGAGCGGCCATTTTGGTAAGCATCAAGTACTTTGTTATACTAAATATTTATAAACAAGGTAAAGTACATCTAAATCTGTTTTATATCGGGCACATTGTACGCAGTATTTTGGTCTGTGTTTAGTTGTTACGTAGGTATTATAAAGATAGATAGTTTATTCAAAGAATATTGTTTTTTTTTTCTTTAAGATTTTGTTAAAACATTCAGAATATTTTAGACATTGACTCCAAGATGTTTTTTGAAAACGTAGGTATATGAGATGAGTAGGTAATGTTATTTTTATTTAGATAGTAGATGAAACAATGTTAACTGTAAGTTTTCTGTCGACAGTTTTATTTATAAAGAAGGAGTCAACACAAAAAACTGAATAAGCAGACTGACAAAAGTTAATAGTAATCGTTTTTCTATTTTATTTGAAATCTGATTTGGACATATAACTTCTACAAATGATTTAATAACCAAAAGGTGAAAATAACAAAACAATACAAAAAGACATAACCTGTCCAAATCTATGAAGTATAAATTCACGAATGAATAACGACGTCATCGAGCGTTATTTTCATTTGCTGGACAATTATCATTTGGCGGGAATCCATGAAAATGTCACATTATCGCGACTTGAGAAAAAAAACAACATGCTGTATGTATTATAACCTATGTGTAATGACGTGAAAAATTATCTTGTCAAACAGCTACATTAGAAAGAGTTGTATTTTGTTTTTTAGATAGTAAAATTACTGTAATCATTTTCTTATTTACCTAATATATTATGTAACAATATCTATTTTAGACTTCTGTATTTGTTTTTTATTGTGAGGCTAGAGGGAGTGTTCCTTCAGTTCCTCATTGCACTTACCCTGCGACCCCATTTGAATTATAAAATGAGTTTCATTGTTTAACTAAAACGCGGATAATTATAAAATTTCTTTATTGTAATGGCTATTAAAAAGTCTCTATAGTTGTTTCGCTTGAGTCCCTCGGTCAACGCTTTTAGTACATTTTATCATTGTAAATTATTATTATCTCACTAAAGTGATTATTGAATTGGATTTGACCTTTTCATCTAGAGTTAATTAGGGATTTCGCAAGTTCATTACAAATTAAGACTATCGTAACTTAGGTATGTTTTTATTTATCACAGTCTCTTAATAAGTGATATTAATTGACCCAATTTGCAAATATGTAGAATAGTGTATTTGGGTAAAGTTTACTAACATAAAGACTATAAAACAAAAACCAATATGTACTGCGAATACTGAAACATACTTAAATAAATAATAACAATTTTTCCAAAACAATAAAATAGAACGGAAAGCTGCGTACGTATTAGAATCATAATGTTTGTCTGTTACGCAATAGGCCTGGCAGGCTCGCCATACATTTCACAATAAATAACTATTTTTGTTAGACCATTAAACTTTCCATTTTATATTTTACCCTTTATTCAATAAAAGTTCGCGTAACGACGGGGTATTAATAGAGAGAGTAAAAATACTTGATTCCGAATGGCCCATAAACAAACCGCTGTGATTGCAAGCAGCCGGTGTGGCTACGGATACAGACGTGTGACGTCACAATCTCCACTATTTTTAGATTATTCGGGAGTCGTGCAAGAAACCCTATCTACATAGCGTAGCGCAGACACTTGACCTGCTCCACAATACCGTTGCATTTTTAACGTCCTTCCCTATGCAACAACAATGAGATCCGAAAGGTCATTGTCATGCGCGTACGCACGTGACCTTGAATGCCTATCAGAGGGCACATCCGTAATCTCATATAGTTTGTAATTGTTTTTATTTATTTTTGTTATTTTTGTATATTTTTTTTATTCTTTCTTTTTTTTATTTTTGTTCTCTTTATTATAAACCTTAGCATTACAATAATATTACAAAAATATATTACATAAATTAATTTCCCTATCAAGTACTAAAGACTAGTGTTGTTCCATTTTTGTGTGTGTGAGTGTGTGTGTGTACGTAAATAACATCTGTGTTTCTGTGTGTTGGTATCATACTCTTGTAGTTCATAACGACGAGCATAGCTGTAAAAGAAATTTGGGGAGGGCATTCATATTGAGGGGGAGGGCATAAGTGACGTCATCCTTTATTCATCCTCATCGACTCCGACGCATTTGGGGCATACCGGCTTTCCTTCCATGGCATAGAAAGATTTGCCTTTGACAGCCTTTTCGCAGTCCTGTGAGGTAAACATTACATTAGACACGTGTGCCTTGAGTATCCAAGAGTTTGGGGACTTTTGAATATTCAAGAGAAGTAGTATACTTGACCTGGCGTATCATTATGTAGATCATCAGCCACCTGTGAGGGTCCACCTGGTAGGGAGACTAATACTGACCTTGCAAACGAAGCAGTCAGGGTGCCATTGTGTGTTCAGTGCTGAGATGTAGTTCTCCATGATGGGCTTGTTGCAACCGCCGCATTTTGGCGCAAACATGTCAAAATAGTCATTGCGGCAGTATGGTTTGCCATCCCTCTCGTGGAAACCATCCTCACCAAATTGTTGGCCACACTGGGCACAGAAGAAATGTTCTGTGTGCCAAGTTTTTTCCAGAGCCGTGACGCATTTCTGAAATTAAAAAGAAACCTTAGCGCGATGAATTTTGAATCCCAATTCGAATTGTGTAATATGTTCGAAACTAACGTCGAGGATAGGTCCGTTGCAGTAAGCACATCTGGGCGAGAATAGGTTGTGGTAGTCAGGCTCGCAGTAAGGCCTGCCGTCACGCTCGAAGAAATTCCTGGTGCCCAGCTCCTGGTTGCAGTGAGCGCAGGTGAAGTGCTCAGGGTGCCACGTGCGACCCAACGCGGTGATGACCTGGAGCACATAACAGTTCGTCATTCACTACTTAAAATAAAATCACTGCACAGTTCGAGAGCAGAATTGGATTTCACTAATATATGTCAGTCCGGTGTTATGGTGGGGTCGAATTCTGCTCCCGTCACGGTTGGATATCCACCTGTCCGACGATGGGCTTATCGCAGGCGTTGCAGCATCCCTTTTGGGGGGTTTGTACTCCTTGGCGGCTCATGTCTGCTCGGAGAGATCCGAGCATATGCTCTAGAGAGGCGGACTCTGGTTGCCGCGGGTTGCTGCGGTAGTGTTCTTGCCACGCACGCTTTTCGCGATATACGTGGGTACCGCTTTCAGCTCCTGTGCCGCTTACCTGGGGAATGACATAATTTTTATTAAAAGATTTTCTATATTGCCATTACGATTAACTAGGTACTGAATAGGAATGGCAAAATAGAAAATGTATAATGTAGATTGATATTGAACTTGAATCTTTCAATTGGACTTGATGTACGAAAATAAATTTTCCAAGTCCAAGTAAAAGATCGAAAATTGATCGCGATCCCAACGTACAGAAGTAAACCCGGCCGTTCGTGGTGGATTGGAGCGAATGCCGTCCGAGTGAAATGTTTGTCTATGTACTCTAATATTATAAGCTCGCGCCCCCACCACGCCTGTGATGTAATGCTGGGAACTATCTTTAGACGGCGGGCTTTGCGCGAGTGCGAGGGAGACGAGCCGACCGCTGGAGGGACGGCTTCTAGCGCGGCTGGAAATAGCCGTGGACCAAGAAAGGCGAGTTGTAAATATTATAATAAACGGAAAAGAGGAGACTGCTGTAGTGCAGTGTGCCGAGGTGGCCGTGACAGATGCCGACCGATATTGGACCTTAGGGTGGAGATGACTCATCATCAATTACTACATCAACGAATCGTAAACTCGGCCGGAACGTTCCACTACATTATAAATTCAAAGTTTATTCAGTAAATACGGTTTCATGAATGAAAAATGCTGTGATAACAGGGGAAGGCATAAACAATGGCATAAAGGCGGTTATTGCGTCGCGTCCAGCTCCGATATCTTTTTGGCAGCTGAAGTGATAATCAACCATCCTTTATTTTACAAGTGACCTTGTACTGCGCTGTAATTTGTATACAAATTCCAATTAATGCGACTTGTTTAACAATTATCATTAACAATTAGACGAAGATGTACATCTTTGGGACAGTTGAATTTGGGTCAATGCTCAACCAAAAAGGTTAAAATTTTGGAGGGATCCAATTAATCCTTAGTTAAAGACTAATGAAGATGCTAAGTATATGAAACACAAACGACGTAGCATGTAAAATTTACGACAATGTGTAAAAGATCAAAAGCCCTCTATGCTAACAGCTTTTGGAGTAAATACGTTACATCTTTGTGAATTTGCGTCAACGTGGCACATAATTCATAATTATTAATGTAATTTACGGCTACAAAGCACGTGTAAATGATGAACAGTACTTCTGTTAAAATGGTTGTATGTCAAAACTAGTCACAGGAAGGAAGGCAGGGTTATACCAGATATTGAGAATATTGTGACAGAAAACTCTTTGACATCATGACGTCAATGGATGGTTGTCAAACGTTGCCTAGAGATTGTAAATTTCGTCGTGAATTGTCAACACGAGTTGGTGTAATCGGTAAGGCGTGTGGATTACACCACAGAGACCCCGAGTTCGAGTCCCGCCGTAAACATGAAGTTTTTTAGTTGATGGAAGTTTTGTCGAACTTTCTGGAATATTTGAGTGAAAGTGATGAAAAATTAAGGAGCGAGAAGAAGAATAAATAAAAATGAATAACGAAATTATTGGAAGATTCTGGAGGCATGACGATCAAAAAGAATAACGAAATTGAATGTTCTAGAACCTGACCGGGGGTATATAAGCGGAACTGCGGCTCACCGCTGGCAGTTGAGTTCTAAGTCTAAAGCGATTCGGAAGAAAAGGAAGAAGTGAGAAAGAAGAAAAGTGAGTGAAATAGTGAAGTGCAGTGAAATAGTGAAGTGCAGTCAGTTAAGTGAGTTAAGCCAGCGTGAACGGCAAAGTTGTGTCAGTCGGCCGGACTCTGCTGGAGAGGAACGCCGATAACTTAACTCCGTGGACGCTGTAACTTAAGTGCAATAGAAAGTCTGAAAACCGGTATTAGTGTTTCATTTCATCCAATCCCGTAACCCAAGCCCGCATAGTCAGGAACGTGACGTCAGGCACGTAACAATATGTTGATCCGTAATGTATATTTTTGCCTAGAGACGGACAGATATGTCTAGTCTAGATCTTCCCATTTAGAGCACTCACTAATTTTTGAACTTTTAATCTCAATAGCTAAAAAAACAAGAACTGAAAAAAGCTCCTTCATCCACGCTGCTCATGAAAAGAGACAAGTCTTTACTTGAAACTGGTTGAGCTTTTCTCAATCAACAAATGTGAATAAATCGTTATTTTCAATAAACTAAGTAAGTCTTACGATAGTCACTTTACAAAAATAACGATGTATTTTTTATTTCATAACAGTCTAGGAGCCATTTTTTGTTACGTTTTGCATATAAACAAGACAATAAAGAACGGGTACAAGAAGTGGAGGAAGGGTTAGGCAAGTTGGAACATCGCGTCATGGCGATAGAGGAGAGAGTGGAAGAAGAGATCTCCAAAATCAAGCAGGAAATGACAAGCCCAAGCCCTTTGAAGAGCCGAAGCCGTCTTGCAGCCGTTTTTGACGCCCCAAATGCGGCCTCAAGCGCAACGAAAGGGCTCAAGATTCCCCATTACGACGGAACAACATCCTGGACCGCGTTCAAGCTACAGTTTGAGACACTTATGGAGGCTTATGGTTGGACTCAGAAGGAAGCACAGTCAGCCCTCACCCTGGCCCTCCGTGATCAAGCGCTCTCAGTGCTGGAAGCTATCGGCGCAAGTGGGGATCTCAGCTTTAGTACCCTCCTCGACGCACTTGAGGCACGTTTTGGAGACAGCCACCTCGAGCACGTGTACAGAGCGCAATTAAAAGAGCGTACTCAGCGTGCTAATGAGAGTCTACAGCAATGGTCCGTGGAAATCGAGAAACTTGTGCGTCGAGCTTTTCGGTCGACTCCATCAATGATTGAAGGCACGCTTCTCCAAGCATTCATTGACGGTGTTCGGGACCCCGAAGTACGAGCTGCTGTTCATCTGGGCCATCACAAGAACATGAAAGAAGCTCTGGCCCATGCATTGGAAGTGGAAGCCGTGCGTGGTAACTCCCGTACCTTACGTCTGCGGGAAATGACGACAACGGAGCAGGTACCTCCACGCCGTCGGAACTTCATGTGCTATGGATGCGGAGAGCGTGGGCACATGCGGAGCGACTGCCCGAAGAAGGTGAACCGCCAGGACGCGGCGGTCTCAACTTCTGACCAGCAGGGAAACTAAATCCAGCCAGGGCTGCGGGGTGGGCGCTGGCCGGTAGTGGAATAACCCCAACAATCTACATCAAGCAAACTAGCGATGGAAATACTCTGGTGATAGACGGTCAAGTAAATGGGAAAAACAGTCAGCTAACATTAGATACTGGAGCTTCAAGGACGGTGATAAATGTTCGGCTGCTCGGGCAAAACATCAGGAAACACGTTAAACCAATTGTTGGCCTACGAATGAAATCAGCTACCGGCCAGTGCATACCGATAAGTGGAAAACTGCATGTAACAATCAAAATTGGGGAACGTGTTTATCGACATGAGGTTATTGTGGCCAAAATTCTGGATGACTGCATCCTGGGACTTGACTTCCTGCAAGGGCACCAGTGTAACATCGACTTAAAATCTGGAGTATTACTATGTGGAACTGAAGAAATTCCGATGAAGGGTGGAACCCTGGGAAAAGTTTGCTGTTTAAGAAGAACTGTTCTTGAACCAAAATCACAGACTCTCGTACCAATCGCATTACCTAGGAGGAGGGAAGGAAGTTTACCTCTAAGGTGCGCTGTGATTGATAAATCGGAACACGTAAACTCATGGCTACCGGCGAGAACTGTCGTGGGGTCATCTGATGTCAACCGCATTCCGGTATTCAACTTCAGTGATTCAAAAATTACGATTGAAGAAGGAGAGCCTGTGGGCGTATTGGAAGAAGTGGCCTGGATAAGAAAATGCTCGGAGAATCTTGTGAAGAAGGACAGTACGGGAATAGACTTTGTAACGAAAATCTTAGACGAAAACAAAAGTCTGACAAAAGTGGAGACTATGAAAGCTAGAAATTTACTTCTTCGATTCTCTGATGTGTTTTCAAGAAGCGATGGTGATATTGGCCGAACTGGTTTAGTGAAGCATAAAATAAACACAGGTGATACAATGCCAATTCGTCAAAGGCCCAGACGCATACCATTCGCTCGTGAGAAAGAGGTTGAAGAAATGATTGACGATATGAGGAAAAATGACGTGATAGAGCCCTCTTCTAGCCCTTGGTGTTCACCTGTCGTGCTTGTCAAGAAGAAAGATGGTTCAACGAGGTTTTGCGTAGACTATCGACGATTGAATGATGTAACCAAGAAGGATAGCTACCCGTTACCAAGAATCGATGACACACTTGACACACTGAGTGGCATGAAATGGTTTTCAACGCTCGATCTGAAAAGCGGCTATTGGCAGGTGGATTTGGATCCCAAGGACAAGGAAAAGACCGCATTCTCAACTGGGAAGGGACTCTGGCAATTTAAGGTGATGCCATTTGGATTATGCAATGCACCGGCAACCTTTGAGCGTTTGATGGAACAGGTGCTGGCGGGACTGCTGGGCGAAACCTGCCTAGTTTACCTCGATGACATCATCATTGTTGGACGGGATTTTGACGATCATCTAAGGAAATTGGAAAAGGTACTCGATAAGCTGCGTGGAGCAAATTTAAAGTTGAGTCCAAAGAAATGCTCTTTCTTCAAGCGCGAAGTGAATTATCTAGGACATGTTATTTCTGAGAGAGGAATTGAGACTGATCCAGCCAAGACTGCCGCTGTTAAGGAATGGCCAACACCTAAAGACAAAACGCAAGTTCGGGCATTTCTTGGATTGTGCTCGTATTATCGGCGGTTTGTGAAAGGATTCTCGGACATTGCCAAGCCTTTGCATCGATTGACAGAGGAGAAACGTGCCTTTATCTGGGACGAGGATTGTGAGCAAGCCTTTCGAGAACTAAAAGAACGGCTTTGTAACACACCAATTCTCGGATACCCCAGCGCGAAAGGAATATTCGTAGTTGATACGGATGCCAGCAATATTGGAATAGGAGGTGTCCTTTCACAACGCGATGGTGAGCAGGAGAAGGTTATTGCTTACTTCAGCAAGTCACTATCCAAGCCGGAGAAGAATTATTGCGTGACCAGGAGGGAATTGCTGGCCGTAGTCAAAACTCTGCACCATTTCAAGAAGTATTTACTGGGACGGAAATTTTTGATCAGAACTGATCACGCTGCTTTGAAATGGCTGCTTCAGTTTAAGGATCCCGAAGGCCAAGTAGCCAGATGGTTGGAACAACTTCAGGAATTTGACTTTGAAATCGAACATCGCGGCGGAAGAATTCATGGCAACGCAGATGCATTATCGAGACGCCCATGCGTGGAAGATTGCAAGCATTGTGCCAAGAAGGAAACTGCTTTTCTTAAGGTGATAAGGACTGATACTGTTGACAAGGCATGGGGAGATGATGCGATGAAATTAGAACAGGAAAGAGATGCAGATATCAAACCAATACTGGAGTGGCTACGAAGTGGTAACAAGCCAAGTTGGAGTGACGTCGCCCAATATAGCGCAGTAACGAAAGGTTTATGGGCACAGTGGAAAAGCCTCACGCTGCATAACGGACTTCTGTGCAGGAAATGGGAATCAACAAACGGCAAGGACGAGCATTTGCAATTGGTGGTGCCTCGTTCAAAAATAAGGGATGTATTAAAAGCGTTCCATGATGGATCTTCTGGAGGACATTTGGGAATTAGGAGGACTTTGGTGAAGATCAAGGAGAGGTTTTATTGGTTGCATTGCAAATATGACGTCGAAGATTGGTGCCGGAAATGCACTAGTTGTGCAGCTGTCAAGGGTCCACAAACAAGAAGCAGAGGGGCGATGAAAATCTACAATGTTGGTATGCCTTGGGAGAGAATAGCCTTAGACATCGCTGGACCATTTCCAATCACTGATTCGGGCAATCGCTACGTTTTAGTGGTTATGGATTATTTTACAAAATGGCCGGAGGTCTTTGCCATACCGAATCAAGAGGCAGTAACTGTAGCCACGAAGTTGGTAAACGAGGTATTCACCCGATTCGGAGTGCCCTTGGAGATGCACAGTGATCAAGGACGGAACTTTGAATCCCAAGTTTTCCAGGAAACTTGTAAACTTTTGGGAATCCATAAGACTCGAACGACCCCTTATCATCCACAGTCAGATGGAATGGTCGAACGCTTCAACCAAACATTGGAGCGACACTTAGCAAAGGTGGTTGACAGCCATCAGAGAGATTGGGACACTTACATACCTCTCTTCTTGCTTGCCTATCGGACTGCTGTACATGAAAGTACCGCAAAGACGCCTGCATTTGCAAATTTTGGAAGGGAATTGAGATTACCGGCAGATCTTGTATCGGGCTGTCCACCTGGTGATTCTCGCACCGAGTTTAGCGATTACATAAGCGAGTTAAGGGCAAAAATGTTGGACATTTATGAGCAGATCAGGGAGGCCGGTCTTCAAGCTAGTGATCGCGCAAAGACGCGCTATGATCGACGAGCCAATTCTGTTGGGTTTGAAGAGGGGTCATTGGTCTGGCTTCATAATCCAGTCAGAAGGAAGGGAAAATCTCCAAAGCTGCAACCGAGTTGGGAAGGTCCTTACGAGATAGTCACGAAGATCAATGACATTACTTACAGAATTCGGAAGTCTTCAAGGAGCCCTTTGAAAGTTGTCCATATAGACAGGTTGGCGAGGTATTACGGCAGCAACGATGCTCGGGACGAGCGAATCTAAGAGGGGGGCAGTGTGACAGAAAACTCTTTGACATCATGACGTCAATGGATGGTTGTCAAACGTTGCCTAGAGATTGTAAATTTCGTCGTGAATTGTCAACACGAGTTGGTGTAATCGGTAAGGCGTGTGGATTACACCACAGAGACCCCGAGTTCGAGTCCCGCCGTAAACATGAAGTTTTTTAGTTGATGGAAGTTTTGTCGAACTTTCTGGAATATTTGAGTGAAAGTGATGAAAAATTAAGGAGCGAGAAGAAGAATAAATAAAAATGAATAACGAAATTATTGGAAGATTCTGGAGGCATGACGATCAAAAAGAATAACGAAATTGAATGTTCTAGAACCTGACCGGGGGTATATAAGCGGAACTGCGGCTCACCGCTGGCAGTTGAGTTCTAAGTCTAAAGCGATTCGGAAGAAAAGGAAGAAGTGAGAAAGAAGAAAAGTGAGTGAAATAGTGAAGTGCAGTGAAATAGTGAAGTGCAGTCAGTTAAGTGAGTTAAGCCAGCGTGAACGGCAAAGTTGTGTCAGTCGGCCGGACTCTGCTGGAGAGGAACGCCGATAACTTAACTCCGTGGACGCTGTAACTTAAGTGCAATAGAAAGTCTGAAAACCGGTATTAGTGTTTCATTTCATCCAATCCCGTAACCCAAGCCCGCATAGTCAGGAACGTGACGTCAGGCACGTAACAATATGTTGATCCGTAATGTATATTTTTGCCTAGAGACGGACAGATATGTCTAGTCTAGATCTTCCCATTTAGAGCACTCACTAATTTTTGAACTTTTAATCTCAATAGCTAAAAAAACAAGAACTGAAAAAAGCTCCTTCATCCACGCTGCTCATGAAAAGAGACAAGTCTTTACTTGAAACTGGTTGAGCTTTTCTCAATCAACAAATGTGAATAAATCGTTATTTTCAATAAACTAAGTAAGTCTTACGATAGTCACTTTACAAAAATAACGATGTATTTTTTATTTCATAACAGTCTAGGAGCCATTTTTTGTTACGTTTTGCATATAAACAAATAATCACGTGTTTTTCATCATTTCACTGTGTAAAGAACTTACTTTGAAATCAGAGAGCGATGCCATCAGATCATCAAGTTCCTTAGTAGCGTTGGAGGCGTGGTGATGATGACGTACGGCCGGGACGGTCGGTGGAGGCTGTTGCTGTGACTGGGCTGGTTCCACCACCGTCTCCTGAACTGTCACCGTGACCTGCTTCGTGCCTGGTCGAGGTAGGGTGCCTCCCTGTGACGGAGGAGGTACCGGAGAAGTTGAAGCGCGACTGATGACAAAAGAAATGGTAATGTTAATTTTCATTATAACATAATTAAGTGATTTGGTTTTATAAATTAAGAACATTCCCATTATTATAAGACATAGAAATTATGCAGATAAATAAATAACATATAAAAATAAAGAAAACGAAACAGGAAAGTGTGATTACTGTCATTGACATTTTAACCAAAATCATAATTTACGTCAACTCTTTGCATCATCAATAAAATAATTAAATAATTACGCTTGCTCAATCATCGTGAAATTTAAATAAAAATCTATTTATTGTTGTGACGTCACATCCAGAAAAGCGGCTCGTGATTGGTGGACATGTCATGCGTGTGTTTACAGAAACTAGTTATAAATTACTCCAGTGTGAGTACGTTTAGACCAATTAGAGATTGGCTTGCAAATGCATTGCGTCTTAATTCCCTAAATAGACGATTGTCCTTCCAAAACGATTATTTATTCTGTAAATGATCTGTGTCACGGTCCGTCCATATGTTACTGTAGCATGTACAGGACCTGATTTAAAAGATGTAAAAAAAAGAAAATATGGATAAACTTCTTAAGAATTCGTCAATAGGGGGGGACCTCAAAATTGATCAATTACTCGTCGCTTTCGTCACATCCGCACTTTCCTATGGTGTATCGTTTAGATAGTTAACTAAAACTAAAAAAGCATAGAATTTATTTTTATCTAAAAGTTCTAAAAAATTTGTATGGAAAAATGATTACAATGAGGTATTTACCTAAATCGATGTTAGGTAATATACTAAATTAGAATAATCCTTGTACGTATTTTATACGACCTCTTTAATATAAAAATCCATACTTAGCGAACCGCCTAAACTGATAGACCATAGTCACGTTTGACTTCACAGCTTTCTTCTCAACTTGTAGATATTGAATATGAAATGCAAATTTTTTTACAAGAATATCATCATAAGCAAATGGACAGTTGTATATGACCTCGTCATAGCTTTAAGGAGCCCCTAGAACCAGAATTATCCGCGCTTTTAACCCGTCAGTGAAAAGTTTACAAACATTTCATTTAAGCATCAAATGAAATAAAGAACGAGTGGTTTCAATGAATTGTACTTAGTCAAGTTCCTTTCAACAGTTTGAAAAATAATCTACAGTTTTCGTTGCCTCCGAAACGGCTTGACCGATTATGATGAAATTTTTTGTGCTTATCCGGTTCTATGAGAATCGGCCAACATCTATTTTTCATCCATGATACAATATACAATCCTCAATTTTCACCCTTCTGCGATCAACCCTTATTTTTATGGCAAAACAACATTTGCCGGGTCAGCTAGTAGTATCTATGTTTCAAGAACTGCATTATCTTCATTAAGCAAAACAATTCTTACTAAAACAAAACAAATATTCGCCTAAATTTTAAACAGAGACATTATAGAGCAATTAGGTATTATATTATATGAAAATAACTTCTAGTTATCAAGACGAACATTTTTATTGCTGGACTAGTGGACTCCTTGTCCGTTCCTTATTAGAAGGACAGAAGGATTATAGAATCACAGTGGATAGACTATTCTTTTAGTCTTCAAATCCAGCCCTGCCCCAAACTAATACGTTCTAGTAAATAATACAATACATATGTTAAATGTAGGTACATTTGGTAGAAACACTACGGCAGGTGCGATTACCGCCCGTTAGTTAGCACATAAATACTAATTAGCGAGCGGAAACGTGCGCAAGAGTCGCTCGACCATGCCAAAAACAATTATTTTACATTGTCAACCTTTGTTTGGTTTTTGAAGATATTTTGATTTATACTGATGTGTAGATTGCAATGTGTTTAAATGTCAAACTGTTTGCTAAGTATGTAGAGGCAGGAATTCTTGGACCTATGATTTGTTTTGAATTGATTTACTGAGGAAAGGTTGACTGGTGCCAATTTGTTCACATAGAGTTGACTACTATATCGTGTAATATAGGTTTTTTACGATAGACATCATTCTCGTAGTCTACTTTCAATTCTTTTTAATGATATAGAGACATCTTTTTATAGAATTATAGTAACTAAGCTAACAAAGTTCCAACTTAAGCCCAATCAGCCGGGGTTGCGGGTGTAAGCGATAATGTACCGCTATCCCAACCCAGAAGAGAAAAAGAAGGAACGGAACGGAACGGTTTTTAGTCGGTAAGAGTCTGACACTTCGTTTCACCCCAACCCCAAGCAAGGAGTCTCTGAACATCTCACACATGCCCCAAATAAAAACGCATTGGAGAACCAATTTTGCTGAACATTCAATGTGTCACTATTTGGAAATCCTTGCAAATAAATATGTCCTTTTAAAATAACCCTGACCTCAATACTAAGAGAGGCTACTAAACAGTTCTGACAAGCCAATTAAGATATTATATTATGACATCAATGTCAGGGCACATTCTAATCCATCCATTGCCATACTTCAGTCGCCTGAAATATACGACTAGTAGATGATTTGTACTTAGTACTAGACTAGAAGTATTCCTATCATAAAATATATGTGTAGTGACATTTATGATAGCTATTGAATTTACGGCAATGCGAATTTTATTAGCGTTTTCGCTTTCTGTTTCAACCATGCTTTTGGTGGTCCAGTGGAATTGTCTTATAGGACTTTGTTATTCATGATGTATGGTGTATTATCATCAGAATTTAGTAATCCTGACTACGATTATGAACAGTAACTGAAATTGCAATTTCTTCTGTATCATCCGGTTGTGAAGCCACTTCTTTATTGGCGCTGTTAACTTTTAGGCTTAGAATTTACTTCAATGTTCATATGTAGACATTGTGTAGTTAAAAACTGGCTTTTGTTGCTTCAGTTCTAAAATTGCAATAATTCGCAATTTGCTATAATGCATTAGTCCCATAATTGAGGAGCATTGACTTGTAATGCGCAATACAGATAAAACCACCATTTGGAGTTCAATTACCTACAATATGAGTTATTGAATTGCATTTCATCTAAGTCTGGATTACATCATATTTTCTAATATAGACAGCTACTGAAGCCAAGTTCAGAATCACATTCAACATTTTGAAGTCACGGGAGGAAGAGAGAGAGAGTCAAATTCGAAACCAAAAAATGTAGGAAATCCATTTTTGTCCAAAAGCGATTACGATTATTGATATTATACTTGGCTGGGAGGGGAACGCAGATCTAGCAGATACCAAAAGCCATGAGATACTGTGAGTGGATTCTAAGACCAACGTTGTGGATATGAAGAGTTTCAAACTAATCTGTAACGGGTATTATTGAATACAAGTAATTCTACGTGGCCAAAGAGTTTGGCTATGACCCAAGAGAAGCATTGATACTGCTTGCAGATTTGTTTTGTAGCTTCAGAGAATAAAGCGATGCAACAATAGTACAATATTTGATTTGAATGTCAACGTATCTTTGTAATACTAGAAATATATTACGCCCCACTAGAACATGGTATATCGGTCGATTATATAAAAATAATTCAGTTCAACGGATGTTGTGGATCGCTGCCAAACTACGATGATGAGAAATTGTTTGAAAAAATACGCGTTGCTATCGTATCACCAGTTTTGATAGGACTTCGATAAATAACATTAAATTCTAGCGGATGTCAGTCAGTCGATGAAAACCTTGAAATCTATATAGACATCTCATAAAATTTTATTTTGGGAGACATCTTTCGACCCGGTAAGTCTAAAAGCAGAACTAAATGTAATCAATAACTGTCTTGAAATTAGGTCAAGCTCAAGATGACTGAAACTTGTTGGTGCAGAAACGACAAACATGTTCTTCGATCATATCGTCTTTCAAGTCAAGAAGGAACTTTTAAAAGCATTGATAACAAGAATTTCAAGACAGTCACAATTGTGACCAAAAGCTAAATTGCTTTTTATGGAATAGGTTGGCAAACAGACTGATCCCCTGATGGTTAGTCAATCAGACTTTTGGGGGGGTTGCTAAGAATTTGAGTGTTGAGGATTTGGAATGGGAGGGAAGGAAAGTACAGTTGGTCCTCCGGTAACCTCATTTACACGGCAAATCTCGACACAAGCTTTGTTTCACACTAGTTTCCTGTGAGGCCGTGTTGCACTTCGGTTGAACCAGCCCTACCGTGCCGAAGCATGGCTCTCCTACATTAACGCACGCCTAGTCAGAAACTAGTATAGACATCGTAATCCTGAATAATTTGATTCCCTCCAAGATTTCAACGTGACGGTCCCAAAGACTAATGAAATCAAAAAGTGATTCTTCAAACTGGGTTTTTTACTTATACACAGAACCTCTTCACGTGTATATTCATGTCTACAAATAAGCTTAAAATGGCTTGCCCCTATTCTGGCCAAGCCATGTAAATAATAAAACTAGTATGTTACGAAGGAATTCTATGTATTGTTTTATTTATTATTTGAAAAGCTAACTGCACACGAAACAGTGGACTACAAATACTTTTGAATATTCCAATATACTGTGCGATGTAACACTGTTGAAATATTGAAGATTTCAATTGTTTTTTGTAAATACGAAAAAGTTTGTTTTTACTTAGTTTATACTAATGGTTACTCTATTCAGTGTAATGATGGTCAATATGGTTGATAACTGACATCTTTGTGCTTTGTCGGTAGTGTGTATACCTAGTATGTAAGTACTTGAATTTAGATGTTCAGATCTAGGATTAATCTTCAAGCAGAAAAAGATCTATTGGGGTTGTTTGGTATTTGAAGTTTTTACCATTGCAATTTTATTTACAAAGTAGCATCAAGTAGTGTCTCCATCCATTTAAGCCCGTTATGACGACTTCCAAGTCGTCATAACGCTTAAATGGCTTAAATTGACCTTTAAGTAGCGCGTCATTGGAGAACGCTTCTCCAGCAGCTGAAGGAAACGGGCTTATGGTAATGGTACGTAAGACCAAATTTTGAGGAGCTTTTTGGCTGGGGAAAATTATCAAATGACTTCTCCCGCCTAGGGTAAGGTGAGAGAGAGTGACAGACTCTTACTTACT